TACCGCGTAACTGGGTTCTGTGGTCGGTAGATATCCATATCTTGATTAAGTGATTTTTGCTGTTATTGGTTGTCATCCCTAAGAACAAAGATGAAATACCTCCTCACCAGTGAAATGGGTCGCCGGTTCTTACCACTCACACCATACGAAATTCATTATTCCTCTATTCGGTGCTAGAATTATGCAAGCGTGGCCCTTCCTCGGTTGAGCCGAGACTTCGCGCTGCAGCGATAATACAGCGTATATAACACTATACCTACCACCATAATATCTTGCCTACTATTTGAGAGGCCCAGGTGACCTTGGCGTATAGTTGTCACGTATTACCTACATACATGCATTTACATGTTTAAACTACTAACTTAATTCATCGATTAATTTATAAAACATCAACTTAATTTCATTTATTATTCAATTAATCCAGTATTAGCGGGCCTAAAACATTATATATTCCGTGATGTAGTAGGCCATTACAACGGTGGCGGGTAAAGACACAGAACACTAATACCCTTAGGCGGGGTAAAGAAACAAGAAGAAATATTTTATATACGTTATAAACGTTGTCCTTGTTTTTTATTTTTTTGAATTCAGAATTTGACCGGAAAAAATAGTTTAGTTTTTTTTTACTTGACAAGTAAGCAAATACTGCAGCCTGTGAAATTGTCAATAAGTATATGCAGCCAGTTTCAAACAAAGGATTAAAATGGAATACCTACCTCACAGCCAGTAAATACACTAGATCTTTGTAGAAAAGACCCAATTACATTCATTCATTAATTGCCTACAGCCTAAAATCTCCTATTAGAGCTTAGTCATCCTCTTGGCAGGTGATTTGGCATCTGCATTTTTTTAAATTATTTATACTAGAAGACGTTAGCCAATTAAATAAATAGCCAAAGTAATAAATTGAGTTTGTGTCACAGTCGTTGTTCTGTTCAGAATCAGGTCTTTGTCGTTTGTGTTGTGAGAGAAATGAACGAGAAAAACATTGATTTGTAATAACTTATGATAAGAAATTTATTGCATGGGTAGCATTTTCCTGTACATGTTAGAAGTTTAGTTTCGCTATATGACGATACGTACGTAGCGGCAATTAAAAAGGTACCACGTCTAATGGACTAAGCTAAGGCGAAGTCAACGTTACAAGTCTGGTCAGTCTTTATAGTATGATCCTGACCTAATTTCGGTCACAGCGGCCAGTCTCACGGGTGAATAGACATCTGCGTAGGACAGAACTATAATGCCCAAGTGTATGCGCAAGCACAGGTGCACTCTCTATTCCCTCACTCTCATAGTCCGATGGGACGGTAAAACGACACGATCGGAGAGAGATCGAGCCATACACAAAAGTACTCTGTGGATCAAGTGCAGGACCAACGGCTTTACGTGCTTTCCGAGGAACGGGGGTCCTATTGTCATAATACATTTGTTTTGTGGAGACGCTGATAGGTGGCGCTGTAGTCAAATTATTAACAAATTCTTTATTAATTAACCAAAATGACTTATATTCACAATAAGGTACGTTGGGGTAATACCGGACGGATTTTCGAATAGTTGGAAGAGTCTGCCAAAAACTTTAATTTCTCGACATTCGTATACGTCAGATTTATGGAACATGGAGCAAACCGTTAATCGTTAAACGTAGTTTAGCTCTGAGAATCTTTTGCTTGTGTAAACTCAACGGTTTCTGCTTTAAAGGTGTGCGAAAACTAGACATACTTTTTTATATGCATAATGAAAAATTGGCCATTAAGGGGTAAGACCGGACTTAAATTTAAAACCACTTCTACTGCTTAGAGAAAAAGTTTATAAAAGAGATTTGTCCTATCTTTAACGCTCAAAAACATATTTCAATATGATCTATAAATTACTAGAAACATAAATGTTCCAAACGATTTTCTCTTTTTTTGTTTTTTGCCATCCGATCTTATCCCTGATATAAAGAAATTGTAATTTTATGTTTCTCAAACTTTGTTATGACATAAGATGGAATTACTCAATATAAGAGAAAGATCGGATGCATTTGATTTTATATGGAAAAAAAAATAACAGTAAGGACTGGCGAAATGCCCTGGGATAATGCAGGAGTTAAGGAAGATATAATATTAACAAAGCGGCATTTATTATTATAAATTATTTTTTAAATAATTATTATAAATTACATTTTGATTTGTAATAGAGGATAGATATAGATGTCTATGGGCTGCAGCAATCACTTAACATCAGGTGGACTGTGTGCTCCTTTGTCACCCTTATCCTATAAAAAAAAAGTATTTTAATGTGTACTTAAAAGTAATAAAACCATCGTATTGTTTTATTACTTTTAAATATACAGACTTGCTAACGAGACTGAGTCCCATAGTGACTTGAGTAATCAACCAAAAAATATACACGACCAATGAAAGTTTAACAACCACTGCCATATTTGTAACAGGCAAAGATCGGATAATATTCATCCGATCTTCACTCACGAGGGGAAACATCGGATCTCGGCCTACAGCGATCTTAGCCCTGCATGGACCAGCTTTATTTAGCTATAACTTCATAAAAATTAGTATCCACACAAAATAATAACAAAAGAAGCCATATTCTCGCTAAAAATCGTAAATAAAAGTGATAGGGAAAGATCGGATGGACAAAAATAATACAAAAATTACCATTGTTTTATAAAATGCCACGCAGCACAGGTCCCACTTGCCGGAGTGACTGGCGCGAACTGAGGGTCGGGGCAGGATGAAATGGCGTCGTGTAGCATATTGTTAGCTTTTCAAAATATAGCATAATTCGCCGGGAATTTGAATCATACGGTCTTGCCCCATCACCGATCTTACCCCAACGTACCTAATATCATGAAGCGAATAACGAATCCGTTATGACAGGAAATAACGCACACTGGTTTCGAACATCGAGATGGAGTTGCGGTTGGAACACATGTGAGGCAATTTTAAATTCTGATATCGGATACGAATACGAACACATATGTTGGCAATTAACTGTTGTTAACTTTAGCCTTGGTTTAATATATGTTATTATTATAATACTATTATAGTATTCTATGGTTAGTTACAATATTCATTTCACATTTCATTTTGACTTTGGGAGCATATAGGATCTTCTAATAAGGTCTCCGATGCTATCAGTTTGCTATCCCCTATAATATATCACTGTCAAATAAGAAACTATAGACTTAAATACTTATATGTTGTTCACTTTTAGTAGAGCCATGCTGCATTTGTATAGCACGATTGAGTTAACCACGCTCTGTGGAATAACTACGCTCTCACAGAATACCAGCGTGAAATAGAAGCTTAATGATGCTGTGTTCGCATGGAAAGTGTAGCGAACCGGATAACCTTTTTATTTGAAACGAGACATTTTATCTTAGTTCTCAAGGGTGACAACGCAACTGCATTTTCATTCTTAATCTAGGATAGATGTAGGTAGATGTGTAGGGGCCACAACATCCACTTACCATCAGATGGACTGTGTAACCGTTTGCTAACCTTACTATATAAAAGTTATGTTTGCCTAGTACCACAAAAGGAAAATCTTGACCAAACAGCTTCCGAAATTTTCGGATTTCTTACACAACAACTCGAAGAATTCAAAGTAAAACTCATCGCGCCAACCGGCTCGGCAAAAGAAAGTTTTTTTCTGTTATTTCTGTATAAATAATAGCTTTGTATACAAACAAAGAATATATTATAATCACTACGTTTTTATGCAAGCACAAGTAATTCCTATAAAGGTATCCTGTACGGTTTTTTCTTTTGGTAAAGAATTGTACATTTTTCATGATTTAAATACAAAGATATCTGTACCCATACAGCCTAGTCTAACATTTTTAGGGTACACAAAGGGTGACCAACGGGTCCCTATTACTAAGGCTCCGCTGTCCGTCCGTCCGTCTGTCTATCAGCGGGCTATATCTCATGATAGGTAGACAGTTAAAATTTTCACAGAATGTGTATTTCTGTTGCCGCTATAACAACAAGTAATAAAAATAAAAATAAATTAAAACGGGCTCTCGTACTAGAAACGTGTTTTACGATGGTATGAAACCCTTCATACGCGAGTCCGATTCGCACTTGGCCGGTTATTTGTTTACAGAAGCACAGCATGATGATGAGTAACAAATAAGACGCCAAATTTTTGGAAGATTTTGATCTCAGAACTAAAGCATTTTGATGCTAAGTTAATTCAGTAATCGGCACTAGACCATGGTATCTGAAGACGGCGAAACGGACACAATAACTTGAGGTTTATATCACTATGGATGCACTTGTATAATTTTTTCTTCATCGTTTCCATTAATCTATACTTACAAATAAATAAAATTGAACTGTCTGTTTGTAATGTCAAAATAACAGCTTTTTACTAAATGCATAATATGAAAATATATATATATATATATATATATATATATATTATGATACTACTAACAAAAAACAATTTTTAAAACTCTTGTTTGTCTGTCTGTCAGTCTGTTTGATCGAACTACTCTCTGAAACGGCTGGACCTATGTTGACTGGTCTTTCACTGGCAGATAGCTGATGTTATAAGGAGTAACTTAGGCTACTTTTAGAAAAATAATTATGGTTTCGCGCAAAAAAAAAACTCAAGAAATCCAATCGTTATAAATACCATGCGGGCGAAGTCGCGGGGGACAGCTAGTAGTTAATATTTATAGACCTTTAATAGGTACCTATACGAAATTGAGCTGTTGCGTTTTAAAAATCCACTTCTAACTATATAATAGTATGTGTAGGTATTTCTATAAATATTGTACACGCATTTTTATCGAACGAATCTTAACTACAATAATAACGTAAATTATCAAATGCACATGAGATATAGTGAAACAATAACTTAAGAATACGACTCTTTACGGAGTTTTGGTGGAAACTTTGTAGCTAGAGGATTTTCGTTCCTGTATTATGATTTAAAATTTCCTATTATTTATCGAAAATTTTAGAGTAATACTTAAAAACATTACTTACAGTTTCCATTTTGTCCCGATCCAGGCCCTTGCAAAACAACTACATTTATACACAAAACGAAGAAAAATAACTGGCACAAGATTTTCATTGTGAGAAATGTAACTAAAACCCCCACGGATATATTATTAAAAAATATTAATATATAAAAAAATATGATTTTATAAACTTAAAAAAAAGTTCGCATCTGAAATCATGTTGTTCAAAAAAAGCGCGCAAAAACGTCTGTCAGGTGAACAGGACGGAGCCACACTGGTGCGTCAAGGTAAGGTAACCAAGAATAATTATTTAAAGTTAATGCAACAATGTTGAATGTTTCGGCACAGTAAACAACACACCTGCAATCCGAATCACAAAATTAAACTTTAAATAAGAAGTTTTAAACCAACTTCAAAGAAATAAAAAAAAACCCACAATCGAATCTGAACTTCTTATACTACGTCTTAGCATTTTGATCCTTTTGAGTGGAGGAAAGGAATATCACAAGTTCAAGATTACAAATTAAAAACTTGATTCCTTATTTTTCCACACTTATGGATGGATTTTTTTTTCTATATTTATATGGTACCAACCCTGGAGTACTTAGAATCTATTTAATAAAAATAAGGTCATTAAAAGCGGTTTATAATAGACGAATACGAGCGTAAAAACATATGAAAGAACTTACAGTCGAATTAAGAAACATTCCCTTGCTTTTTAATACTTTTACTTACTGTCTCGTTGGTCTAGTCTGGTTGGTCTAGTAGTAGTAATGGTACGACCGCTGTTCATGAGGCCCCAGGTTCGAATCCCGGGTCGGGGCAATAATAAGTTATTGAGCCCGAAGTCAGGAAATTGGCTGAGTCTCATCCCCGTGCCTCAGAAATCACGTAAAGCCGTTGGTCCTGCGTCTGATCTCTGAGTGAGGGAATAGAGAGTGCACCTGTACTTGCGCATACGCTTGGGCACTATAATCCTGTCCTGCGCCGTTGGCTAGTCTCCGTTAGTGCGCTAGGCTGGCCGCCGTGATCGAAATTCGGTCTGGAGGACATTATTATTGTTAATTCCTTTACAAAATCGAAGTAGCATCAATGCCGATTGGTATACTTACTAGCAAATGCTTGCTAAAAGTGTTCACTGCCATGAGCAACAAGCAATCAAACACGTGCCTCCGCGGACTACTGCTTAACGATGACAACGCACACTCAGTGTTCATAACGAGTTACTTCCTGGACAGAACACCAGATAAGCTTTTGGGTCACCCTTCTTACAGCTCCGATTTGGCAACGTGTGATTTCTTTTTCTTTATTCTTTATTCATTAAAAAAAAACTTGGCTTTACCTCTCTTCCCTTGAGAGAGAAATAAGCCCTAATATAGGATGCGTAAACACTTTGGCGGCCTCTCATCTCAGGGGTACCTCGTTTAGAGCCGGGACGGCATCAGATACAGCTGAACTGAGTAAGTGACGCAGATATTAGTCTCTAGATGATTGCAAATTTGTGCCATTTGTTGTAGAGACTACAGGTCCGTGAAGTCCACGTGCGGTGAAGTTTCTAATGAAACTCTATCCGCGATTGGTCGTTGCTGCTGGTGATAAGAGGGCTGGTTCTTTTCTCGCTCAAAGGCCTAAGTATAGCTATTCAGAGAGGAAACGCAGCCAGCGGTCTTTGTACGATACTACGGAGAGTAGGACTGTATGATAATTAAGTTATTAGTTTTAGTTTTTTTTTTTATTATAGTTTTTGAATATTGTATAATATATTAATAAATTAAAAGATAAAATGTAAAAAGGTTTTCATTGCCGGAAGATGATGGATGATTTGTATAGCAGCATTCGAGCAGGCCGTAGAAGGTAAAGGACTGTGTCTGGAAAAAGTGTTTCGAAGCAGGTTAAACTCTGAGCTCAAAGCACATAAAACAATATTAAATATGTTCTTTAAGATCAAAATTATAATATGTAACTAACTTCTCCATATCTTAAACTGCAGCTATGTTTAAAAATTAACAATTAAACAACCCGTTCAATAAACGACCGGTAGACAAGCGCTAGATGTATTTATTAGGTGGTACCTAGATATTGAGATCATATTGAACACCACATATTACCTATCCAGGATGTCTTTTATAAGGAAACATAGCCACAACCAACGCGTACAAATATCATCATCATATCGATCTATTTTGTACAATATGAATAAATTTTGTACAGAAATTCCAATTTCTAAAAAGTTCAAGTTAAAAAGTTCTAATTTACTAGCGTAAGTTTTTATCGTAAATTCTTTCATCACAATCAATCTCAGTGTAAGATTTAAATAAGGAGCAAAATTATACATAAAAATATATTTAGTTTCTAGGGAGGGGTTGAGGTTAGACCCTCATGCCCCTTCCCCTAGATATCTCCGTCTGCGTCTGGCTGCAATTTGACTATACTTTTGCTACATGACAATCGCCTAAAGGATTATAACCATAAAAATAAATTTCAATGGCTATTCAAATATCACGAGGAAAAAAATATAAAAAATTAAATCCTTCTTCATAGACGCTTAAAAACCGGTTGTGATTAAAAACCAATCTGTTAAAATGCTCGTTCTATGTTTAAAAAACAACCGGGAAACGGGAAAACCCTGACGAACGAATGACATTAGTCTCTAATAATATTTAGAATTTTTATGACCTATCCATATGATAAAACTTAAATTTTTAAGGAGCGCAGGCACTTTAGTGTATAGGAATAATGGTGATAAATACGCGCTTACTCATAGTTTTTTTTTTTTTATAGGATAAGGATGACAAGCGAGCACACAGCCTATCTGATAGTAAATAGTTGTATAGAAATATATTCTCCTTTGAGATTCAAAATGCAGAATGCGTTGTCAGTCGAGAGGACTAAGATGGAAAACCTTTTTTCCAGTAAAAAGGGTCTCCGGTTCTCTACACTCACCATACGAAACAGCAACATTAACCTGCAATTTTACGCTGGTATTCTGTGAGAGCGTGGTCCTTCCCGGTCGAGCCGACCCAATCGGGCTACAACTATACAATTAATACAGCTGCAGCATGGCCCTAGCACGTATAAAATATGTTGCGAAATCCAGCTCGTGTAAACACTAAGTGACAAAGGAGCGTAAAAAGAATTTATTTAAATAGGTTTCATTCGTGAGAAATCTACCATTAACCGGTGATCACGTTTGTTTTGATCATGTTTGTAAAGTTAGTAGCTTGTAGATTTTTTGTTTTGCTCTAGATTTGGTTGATGATCATTAGCCTAGTTGGAAAGGGTAAGGGACTAACTTCGTCACACTAAAATCTTTAACCTCAGTTTTTTTTGCTATTATCAGGAAAAGTATGTATTTACGACATGCGAACAAAAGTTGAAGATCTAGTAATTTAACGTAAAAATGGTTTAATCGATTTATCCTTTAACACTCGTGATTTTGTTGTAAAATATTTTAAAAAAGACTAAAAAGTTTGATAAGCATTTTTGTGTAAAAACCCATACAGGCAGACAGATTATTTATTTTTGTTATTCATGTTGATTGCATGCAAATAACCTTAACTTAGTAGAAGGCATATAATTTGATATTACAAACAGACACTTTATTTTATTTATAGATTTTTATTGCAATAGATTTTGTTTATAATTATAGTTTTATATTTTAAGATATTGAAATATATTTAAAACTAGCGATCTGCCCCGGCATCGCATGGGTGATTTCTGGACTTTGTCAACAGCTCCACCTATACCGGGTCCAATTGTAAATCTAAGCCATCCAGGGAGCCCACTCAAACACCCAAAAAATTTCATCAGAATCGGTCGAAGCAGTTTCGAGTTTTAGCGAGACTAACGAACTGCAATTGATTTTTATAGATAGACTAGCTGTGCGGTTTCACCCACATATATCACACTCGCTTAAAGTTAAAGTTAGAGCCTATATACTTCCCACTGCAGCAAGGAATTGTCTGCCGCGCTGCCCCAACAGACATGCAGGCTTCCTCACTATGTTTTCCTTCACCGCCGAGCACGTGGTAATGACACATGGACACCTCGCTTACGCCTATAACATGTTATGATACCTCGCGCGCTGGTGTTCACTGCTAGTTTCTCTCGGTTCTCATCGGTCGGCTAGGCTTATACGTCGTTTGCGTGCCGAACCGAGTGTTGAATTATTATAATTGTAAAAAAATTTTTAAATATGTGATTATGACTTTATTCATTAATTCATTGCAGCCTATCAAAAGTCCACTTCTGAACATAGTCCCCTTCCATAGATTACCTCTTAGATAAATATCCTCCATATTTGCCATAGTTGCCATACTTGCCAGACGTGTTGCCAACCGCAGTTTTTTATCATCTTGAGTTTTTATCAGGAGTAATGTTGCCCATCTCGTGTTAAATTTCTTAAAAAGCTATGACTTAATTTACTACGAGACCCCTGAGAATTTTTAGGCGGACTTTTGTTTAAACAGCTTACAAAAAAGATTCCAATTGTTGTGGTGTATCTACTATATTAACAGTTGTGGCCCGATGGACTAATAGCGACTATGGGCTTCCTGAAACGCCCAACCCTAGTTGTTGGACTGAGTTTCTATGGAATGTTTGTTAGCATGGCGGCTTGGCGCCTGGCACATTCTTGGAAAGGCCTATAACCAACAATGGCAATAAAAAGGTTGGTAACCTGTTGTCTGAGTACAAAGAACCGGGGAAGGACCACGCTCTCACAGAATACCAGGGTAAAATAGCAGCTTAAAACTGCTGTGTTTCGTATGGTGAGTGTAGAGAACCGGAGACCGTTTTTAATGGAAAAGAGACATTCCATTTTAGTCCTCACGGTTGACAACGCATCTGCATTTTGATTCGCAAACGCGGATAGATGTAGATGTCTATGGGCCACAGCAACCACTTACCATCAGGTGGAGACAGTGTGACCCTTGTAATCCTATCCTATAAAAAAACTATACTCGTAAGTCTCAATCGGGATTGAAGATAACTGTAGTGAGGTAATCCACCCTGGACTACGCGCTCACATAATACTAGCTTGAAATCGCAGCTTAATACTGTTGTGTTTCGTATGGTGAGTGTAGAGAACCGGAGACCCTTTTTACTGGAGACGAGGCATTCCATGTTAGTCCACAAGGGGACAACTAGATGTATATATCTATGGGTTTGTCACCGTTATTCTATAAAAAAAGGATGTTATGTATCAAAAATTATGTTTAATATTAAGTAAATTAAAATTAAAATATTATTCAATTGCATTGTTTTCTTCAAATCAAAGTCGTTCAATTTTTTTTTCTAAAAAATTACTAACTACGAATCATTTATATCAAAGATAAACAAACCAGTCACCTGGTCACTAAGTCACCTGCAAACAACCAACTTCAAACATGGCTGGCCTCCTGACGACTTAATTGAAATGCCTTACAATTTGTTATTATATTTTCTCACCATACAAGTCAAACCGGAAATCAAACCTTCTATTACCAAGAACCTCGGGCTTAATTGAGTTACGTTAATATTAAAAAAAATGTTGACATGGTTGGAATGAAACAAATGCTAACAGCAAAATAGTTTATTTTTTATTTTATATTTATAATACCTATATGAAATATTATCCAGCAAAAATCAAATACATACAATAAACATTAGTGATGTGATGAAACATCTGTATGTAATATAACGGACACTAAAAAACACAAAATATTACACCATTGGTTCATGGTCAGTTGATGCAAAACTATTGTATGTACTTATCGATGGGTTACTTGTATCCGGATTTTGTGCGGAGTTTTTATCAGATTGTGAACAGTTTTCGGTGTCATTTTTACAAGTTTTCTTATACAGACTCAATAAAGACTTATCATCGTCATCATTGTTTAACGGTGTTGGTTCAGTTTTAATATTTACAAAATCGGTTGACGCCATTTTCTGTAACTCCGTCATTGACAGGTCCAACGTTAATTTGTCATCAGGTCCGCTCTGTTTATTTAATGCATTTAACAATCCCGAACACTGACATCCAGTGTTCATTCTATTTTTATAATAATATGCTTCATTACTTTTTCTCTGATATGTCTTCCGCTTCTTTGGACTCAATTTTTTTCCTATACTTCTTTTTCTACGTTCATTGTTCCTACATTTTCGTTTTACCTTTGAACTCTTTAGTTCTTTTAATTTCTTGTATTTAACACACGCTGCACAATTTGAATCATAATTATTATATTTGGGTGACGTTTTGAAGGCTGTGACCTAAAATAAAGAAGAAGTGGCTCTTAGAACAAAGTTTTCTAATTTTATCGCGATGAATTTTAACTTATTTTTCGTTCCTGGTGATTTATGTGTTTGCATCGTCTGCATGTGGCGTTACGTGACCGTCATTCAAAACAGGGAATTAAAAAAAAATTCAAATTAAAGACGATAAAATCCGTGTAAAATAAACGTTTTTTTTTATTAAACTGAAACAAAGTAATTATGACTGCCTTTGATTTTAAATGCCTAGGTCAAGATTATTTTCATAAAGGGCTCGAAAACGGGTTATAGCTTATAGCAACTGCATCTTAGGAAAATTTTGCCGAGAACTATAGCTCACCAACATATACATATTACATGCTATACTTTTATGCAACTTCAAATTCAGTTTCGTCTTTAGTAATGCGTACAGCAAAATTTTCAATAATTTACCAACGTCAGTATTTCCATCCGAATACAATCTGCGCATTTCCAAGGCAAGATGAACAGGCTTTTGTTACGCTAAGACAGTGCGATTTGCAATTACGACTTCATCGCCACTTACCACCAGTAAAAAATAAACTGCAATGTTATTGCGCTACATTACAGGGTACATTACGTCAAGCAATTGAGTTCATAAACGTGAAGCGTCACCGAGGCTATAGACTAACCAACATTGCAGCTGGCTATACCTACAATTGCAGCTAGAATTTACCAATAAACTATCTCGTTTACCGCTTACAAGCTCTTTTTGATATTAGGACTTTTATACTACATTTACGAAACGATTTACATTTTTGAAGTAATACTTCTTTTGGGGCATTTGGGAAAAATGATGAGAGTGAATTTTTACATTGCGCGCGCACACCGACGCCTAAAAACGACACCATGAAGTTGTTACGATGCGCGCGCACACCGACGCCTAAAAACGACACCATGAAGTTGTTACGATGCGCGCGCACACTGATACCTAAAAGCGACCACTTCAATGAGTAATTATCTCTTAAGTTTTTTTTTTTTGTTTTGTTACGCTAACGAATTATAACTTCTTACGTGCGTACATAAGTACACAACACCTTTTTTTTTCTATAAAACCCTAGTGCCGAACGAAATAACAGTTTACTGATCGTAAGTGGCTACTGTAGCCCATGAACCTCTGCAACCAGCTCCAAACAAAGAAGGCTAAAGATGCGTTGTCACATCTGAGCACCAAGACGGTAATTATGCTGGATCTCAATAAACTTCAAACTAAAATATAGCGAGCGTCTTTTTGTGTGAAGGTACAGTAAGGTACGAGTACTAACTATATATTTGGTGACAGAAATTGAAAATCGGGTCGTAGTTATTCAGACGGACTCCTGGACATAAAAGGAGTCGTGCCACTTAGAATACGTGACAAAAAGTAACGATTACAGCAATATTTGAATTTAGATAATTAAAATACCAATATGACTTTTTACGTGGTAGAGCCATACTGCAGCTATAATAGTTGCAGTACGAATGGGTCGGCTCGACCGGTGTGTTCCGGTGTAGGACCACGCTCTCACAGAGCACCAGCGTAAAATAGCAACTTTACGCTGCTCTGTTTCGTATAGTGAGTGTAGAGAACCGGATACCCTTTTTACTGGATACGAGGCATTCCATCTTAGTCCTCACGGATGACAAGGCATCTGTATTTGGATTCTTAATCTACGAGTAGGATAAATGTAGATGTCTATGAGCCACAGTATATCCACTTACCACCAGGTGGACTGTGTGCTCGTTTGTTACCCTTATTCTATTTAAAAAAACATGCATGAGTGTCGTGGAACACTCGGTTGGAACGAAGTTCCTTTCTAAGTATATTATTATTGATACATACATACATACATAAACACTCACGCCTGTCACCCAGAGGGGTAGGCAGAGATTATGGACTTCCATTTGGCACGATCCTGACACACCTCTCTCGCTTCTTCCACATCCATATACCTACGCATACACGCTCGTCGGTTAAAGGTACTCTTGATTTGGCCCATTTTTAATTATTTTTATTATTGATAAAAATATTATAAAATGAAGCGTCATTTAAAATAAAATTTCTTTCATGGCAAGATAACAAAAAGTGCGAGTGAGATAGATATTATTCTATTTCGCTTCCTTATAGCTGCCAAGGCCGTCTACACTACGTCAGAAGGGGTTGTGACGGAAAAATCTTACACTTTTTGTCGTCTAGCCCTCATCCGCCAAATCCGTACCGTCCGATAAACAACTTCGTTCCAAAAAACTTTACCTTGGCAAGAGATCTTCTATTATCAAGTTCATCCCTCAGCTTTGGATAACCGCTATTATGGTTGTGGACCCGTTGTACCCTATCACCGCTGCTTGTAGCCCTACCCTCGTACGCTGCTTGATGCGTCTCCCAAAACATGTCTGCTCCCGTCTTCACTTTCTGCGTTCGAGAATACAAGGCGCTTTTAACGATTTAATCGAACGCTTAAAATAATGTCCTCCAGAGCAAACTGTCGATCACAGGAAGCAGTCCCAACGAATACTAGCCATCTGCATAGGGCAGGATTATAATATCTGAGTGTGTGCGCAAGCAGAGGTGCACTCATTCCGTCACTCATAGCGTGCGTCCACAGTGAATGCGCGGCGGCCTGTTGCGGGCGCGACGGCGGGTGCGTACAGTGACCACAGTGACGAGTCATATTGGAGTGCTTAGACCGTATTTCAGGTGTTGTAAACTATGGCGATCTTTACTAGACAGTTAGATCCTGAGATGGGAAATGTTGAACATAAGGGATGGTGTGCATAAAAAAAATAAAAACAGAGAAATAAATGGTGAATTTTTCACTTTGTATGAAGAATTGAGATTGTAGCCTAGAAAAATTTTTGAGTACACTGGAATGTCTGTGTCAACATTTGATTATAATATCATAAGTAAAATGTTACCTTCAACCATCAAAAAAAAAAATATTGAAGACGCGCTTATGTCAAGCGATAAGGGTCGTTTGCTGACTAGGCCCGTAGTGGGGCCATAACTTGCGGTCCTATCCGCATAACGCGGCCATAACTTGTGGATAGGAACGTTTGAAAACTACGCGCGCAATCTCGCCCTACTTGTCACTACACTACACTATGGACGCAAACGGCGGTTTCATGTTTGATACTTTGCGCCTGTCGTCGCAACCGCGCTAGGCTCGCACTGTGGACCAGGCCATAGTCCGATGGCACGGCAACCCGACACGATCGGAGAGTAATCAGGCGCGGGACCAACGACATTACGTGCTTTGAATTTGAAACAGCGGTGTTTCAAATTCAAAGCTGCTCCTCAGAATGTCTTAACAAGTGGGATGCGGGAAATAAAGACTGTGTAAGAACGTTGCCGAAGAACCCGACTGCGGAGTTATAGCCGAAATAAGAATTTAAATTTTTTTGGTTTTTGGCCATTTTCACCCCCTAGGAGTGAAATGAGAACTTTTTGCCCCTTTTCAACCATGACCCCCACGACATCCTCTACATGACAGGCTATTCAAACTGACTAGGACTAAATTTCGAATCACCCCCCAACTCTTTTCTACTCTTTACTTCCAATTACTTCCAAATAACTGATTTTTGGCCTTTACTGGGATTGGAAGATTCGAATCCGAGATCATACGATCTGCAGCCGCGTTAACGACCCCTAGACCAAACATGCAGACATTTATAGCTAGTCTTGTCGTCATATGCACGCTAATTTGCCCCGCGTATTGTAAGACGCGACTATGATGAATTCCAGAAAGATCTTAATAGCTTCGTATAGATGGCGTTGTAACCCTCTCTTTACGACACACGTAAAATATCCAGAGCGGCGCGGCGACGCGAATCGTTTACCACGACTTAGGGACTTTCTTTAGGGACGAGCTTACACCCTTTAAAAAGGCCGGCAACGCACCTGCGATTATCCTGGTGTTGCAGTTGTTCGTGCGCTGCGGCCGACACTTTCCATCAGGTGAGCCGCATGCTCGTTTGCCCACTCTTCTATAAAAAAAGAAAACAACATCTACGGTGCTCACGTCTGGTACGGCGATCGTCATTCCACCTGCCAACTGCCAAGTGTTGCGGTTAAGGTAAATTTCCCCTACGGGAAAGGCACAAGTCCAGTAAAGTATTTTCACATGCTGATTTCTCATTTAATCAAAATTTGCCCAACATTTAGGTAGCCAATATTTTATCATAGTCATTTGCCAATGTCTATTACCGTAAACTAAAAGGCCCGACTACACGCACAATATTACATGCACATATTCTAATTTGCACAAGCAAGCATGTTTGTTATGCCGGCAAAACGGTATACCATGCACGAATGTTTAAGAAAAAATGAGATCCGAGAAACTTTTGAAAATTAGGTATTTGAAGGTAATATCGCTGTAGTTCTGCGAGCGCTCGGCGTCCGATAAGGAAATCTGCAGATATCTGACTGAATAGCCTAAGTAAAAAAGCATAATTCGAGGTATGGCTCTACCATTTCCTCCTCGAATACTAGACCAATTTAAAAGATATTTCATAAACTAAATAAGAAAGATATTCACTGTGTCCCTGTGTTTTTCTTTTTTCAGTATTAGTTATAAAATTTAAACACTAAGCGTCTGTTGACAACGGTCTAAATAGTTTTGTGCATTTTGTTAGGGTTCTAGTGCTTATAGAGATAATGTATCATCAAAAAGGAAAACATAGGGACAAAGAAGAGGTTGGTTGATATTTATTTTACTAAGATCTCATTGCTATAAGGTGATAAACCAGAAAGAAAACAGGCAGGAGCGTTTGTATGGAGGAAAAACCACCCGAATTTACTTTTTATTTGCTCAAAGTAAAGTTGCACAAGCAAGCATGTACGTTAAGACGGCGTGTGGACGCTACACATGTTCTTTGCGCAAACTTTGAACAAACTGTTTGCGCATACAAGACGCTATCGTGTGGACGTTGAGCACCATGTTGCAATTTTTTGAAGTCATAATTCTTTTGGGGTGTTTGGGAAAAATTATGAGAGTGAATTATTACTACTATTAAGCGCGCGCACACCGACACCTAAAAACGACACCATGAAGTTGTTATGATGCGCGCGCACACTGACACCTAAAAGCGACAACTTCAGTGGGTGGGTATCTCAAGTTTTATTGTTTTGTTACGCTAAAGAAGTATAAATTCCTACGAGCGTACATAAGTACACACACACTTTTTTTCATAAAACTTTTACAGAGTAGTAGAGCCACGCTGCAGCTATATTATGGTTGTTGCACGGATGGCTCGGCTCGACCGGGTTAGAACCACGCGTAAAATAGCATCTTGATGCTGCTGTGTTTCGTATGGTGAGTGTAGAGATCCGGAAACCCTTTTTACTGAAAAAGAGGCATTATATCTTAGTCCTCAGGGGACTGCGCATCTGCATTTTGATTGTTAATTGAGGATATAAATGTAAATGTCTATGGACCATAGCATCCACTTACCATCAGGTGGACTATGTGTCGTTTGTCATCCTATAGTATAAAAAAATATTTTTGCACAAATTGTTTGCGCATGTAAGTCGCTGCGTGTAGCCGGAGCTTAATGGGGAAATGCCAATCATTTTTTATACGAGTACCTATATAAAACTCCAGTGTGCATGTGGTCATAACTCAATTTCTTCTCCTTTCAAACGGTTTCGACGATTTCGATAACATTTTTATAATGTACTCATGGGGTCAACTGGATGAATCTTAGCTATAGTTGGACCCGGTAGGTGGCGCTGTTGTAGAGACCCAGAAATCACCCGTGCGAAGCCAAGGCGGATTGCTAGAAATACTATAAATACAAATTTCCTCGTGGGGGCAAGTGCTAGCACCTTCTAAAACCTCATGATGTTCCACCCTCGCCACATAGAGGGAAACCAGGAGAATGCTTTTACTAACATCCATGGTTCCATCAGCAGCAGCCATCATCTAAGCGGCTCTACGAAAGATGACAACCCCTCCCCCAATTCGTCTCCACAGGAAATTCATATTGGAACACAAGCACTTCTTTCTACACGACCCTGATTTTGCGCATCGGATCCCTCGAATATCTCTTATATCACAAAGGCTACGTGATTTGTCATAGTTGTCACGCTTGAAAAGTGGGTTCTCGCAGTATACCAGTATAAAATATCAGCTCAACGCTGCTGTGTTTCGTATGGTGAGTGTAGAGATCCGGAAACCCTTTTTACTGGACACGAGGCATTCCATCTTAATCCTTAGGCTTGAATTTCTCCTACGCTGACGTCGGTCTCGCGTACTAATGTAGCAAACTACGCGCCGCTGTCGTCAGCGTCGTAGTGTGGGGCTATATAGAACACAATGTACATTCGTACGCGCGACCGACGTACGCGATCGACGTCAGCGTAGGAGGAATTCAGCGTTAGGGTTGTCAACGCATCTGTATTTTGATTCTTTATCGAGTCAGTAAATACATATGTCTATGTATCCATCAGGGGCGGACTGTGTTCGTTTGTCACCCTTATTCTATAACAAAAAAAAACATCTTATGCGCCATTATATTTCACTACACTCGCCTTACCCGTCGGGAGATTATCACTCCTTTTTCTTTCGATTGTCGAAAAGTCTAGGGGGATTGACTGTTTGACCATCGATGACCTCTCCCTTCCATACTTGCCTCGCATATGGCAACCACGTTGTATAGACATAACAATTATTACCTGAGCAGGTTTCATATCCCGCATCGGTATAGGATCATCTTCTTCTATAATTTTTAGAACCGTATCGATTATGTCACCCTGGTATGCATGGTGTTGAAGAAAATGTATATATCTTCTAGCAGAATCACCCATAGTTTTGTTTATAGTTCTATTAATCTATGTTCTACACGTTCAAAATTTCCCTTTTAAAGCTGAAAAATACAAAAATTTTACCTGGAAGCATGAATAAGTTGGCTCGGCCGGGGAAGGATCACGCTCTTATTGACCAGCGTAAAATATATAAATAGAGAACCGGAATATGGAAATAATATGAGTATACAGAACCGGAATCCTTTTTTACTGGATACGAGACATGTCATCTTAGTCCTCAGGGGTGACAACGCATCTGCACTTTGATTCTTAATCGAGGATAGATGTAGATGTCTATGGGCCACAGTATCCACTTACCATCAGGTGGACTAAGTGTTCGATCGTCGTTATCACACTTGTTCTATAAAAAAATATAAACTAAAAAATTTGCAAACGTCCGCCATTTTTTTCGATTACAGTGAGGATATCTTTAAGGTAAGTGTGAAAAGGCTTTTTAAGCTTAGCAGTTTACTATCTTTGGCAATATCACTTGCTAGACATAGATTTATCCTATTTAACACTTTCACTGTTCGATTTTCAAACACAATTTGAATTTGAAGGCACAGAGATTACATAGTCCCACTAAGGATAAAGAACCCCTTTGTCTTATCTCCTCAGTTTCAAGGCACTCCCTCAACCAGTATCGGAATCCTCGGCGTCCTCGTATCGAATAATGTGCAGTTTCGTGGTCACTTGGAAGAGAAGGCCAAATTGGCCTCTAAAAAACTTGGTGTGCTCAGCAGAGTGGAGCAGTATTTCATGCCGGCAGACGGCTTGCAACTTTACAAGGCCACGGCCTCACATGGAATACTGTTCCCATCTCTGGGCATGGGCTCTCCAGTGCTAGCTCCTTTCACTTGACCGCATCCAGCGCAGAGCAGCCTGAATCGTCGACGACCGAGTTCTTTCCGATTGACTCAGTTGACTGGTGCTGCGAAGATATGTTGCATCCGTTTGCATTTTCTATCGAATCTACCACGGGGAGTGCTCGAGGAATGTTCGGATTAATTCCAGCCTTTTTTTTTCTCGCACGACTACTTTGGGGTATCGTTTACCACCGGCGATTTTTCCGGACCGATACGATTAAGGGACCTTCAAAAAACGAGCCTACTCCGTTTTAAAAGGCCGGCAACGCAACTGCAATTCCACTGGTGTTGCAGTTGTTCATGGGCGGCGGTCGACACTCACCATCAGGTGAGCTGCATGCTCATTTGCCTCCTCTTCTATATAGAACAAAAAACCTCGTATGTAATAAAACGGATCGTTATGGAGAACGAAACGTTTCTTGAATACATGAATTGGGCGACGACGGATTCTCATAAGCCGCCATATCAAAATAAGAACACATGTTAGAATGTGGGCTTTACCTATAAATTGGACTCAAGTGCTCGCTGACATTCGCAGGAAATGCTACTGTTAACTAAAGCATAGTTATCAGTTTCATAGTATTTTCAGTTTGATAGGAGTGACACTAATTGAGTACTCATGTATGTACTATATCAGAAAACAAGAACCCTTCTTTAAAATACTTACTTGCATTGGTCCTAAACTTTTTGTGTGTTTTATTGCTATCTGTTACAAATGTTGCAATTCTTTATTTTACTACACAGATTTTATTTGTTTAATTATAATTTGGATAGTGATATATTTACTCAGTATCAATTTTGACAAATAGTGGTCAAAGAGTATAAAATCACTACGTTTATAGTGGTTTTCATGATTGTGTAGGTTGCAAAGAGTATTTATAAATTTATAATTGCTACGTTTATTCGATTGCGTCAAAAGGTAAATCATACTTCAATATAAATAAAATGAGAACATCATTAATGTAGTCGAAGTCAATTAAATACGCATTACAAAGGATAAATCAAAAATTAAACAAAAACACCAGCTTTCAAATAAAAAAAAATTATCAAAATCGGTTCACCTAGAAAAAAGTTATGAGACAAAAAAAAAATACATTCGAATTGAGAACCTGCTCTTTTTTGAAAACGATTTAAAAACTGGCGTAATTTTGACTTAAAACGTAGTATTAAATTTTTTTGGTTTGGATTACTTAATAAGGTATAATTGATGATTTATCCAAGGTTAATTAAAGTTTTTATTTTAATGCTACGCGCATAGACACTTTGGCAGGCTCTCATTTCAGGGATACCTCGTTTAGAGCCAGGGCGGCATAATAGGTAAGTGGCGCAAATGGAGGCTCTGAAAGATGGACTACGTACATTGTGCCCTTTGCTGAATAGACTAGAGGTTCGTGGGAACCACGTGTGGCGAAGTTTGTAAAGGTACTGTGTCCGACTTGTCGTAGCCGCTGGTGATAAGAGCCAGCCAGCGCTCTTGCTACTATACCGCTATAATGAGGGATATTATTGTCATTAATATAAAATATAGCTAATAGTACAGAAAGAAACAATAATTTTAACATTTTCCGAACAAATTAACTTCCCCGCTATGAAATCTGTCTAATATTATACCTCACTTTCTAGTGGCGCCGCCCTAGTGGCATAAAAAGTCGTGGATGCCCACATTTGAATTTTTGGTTTCAGTTTTTTTTATGGTAAATAAGCTCTCACCCGTGACTTCGGACCTACAGATCTATAATATTGGTCTTTGTGTAAGCAGTTCCATTATCGAAAAATCACTTCAAACTCTATTTTTTCTATTATGCTGAAAACTATGTGCGATTTGGGAACATGGATAAAACAAAAATTGAAAATCTATTAAATCACCTTTATCATTCATAGTTTTGTTGTAAAATTAGGTTGAATTTAAAAAAAAAATTGTTAATAAAAGTATAAGTAAATAAAACCGGTTTTGCATCTTACTTTAAAAGATTTAAAAAATTATAGGAAGTTTTTTGTATAAAATGTAAACCAAAAAAGCGTTGTTCAAAACGTTTTTTATACAAGCTGGTACCCGGCACGGTGCTACCGCAAAAAAATAATTGTGAAATATCGTTTTAAATTTGGTGTAGTTATATTGTTTAATTAGATTAGGAACGGTAATACAATAACATTTGAATGATAAATAACTTTCAAATAAATTTGTCGGTACGATACGCGTGCCACCTACTGTAATTTAATGGTACTATGCCTATAAAAGTAGCGCAAGTGCAAGCAAAAAGTTGTCATTATTTTTATATATTAGAAAATATAGGTACCCAAGTAACACAGGAAGCATTTTAACAAACGAATAGTAAACTTATGTAGAACTTAAGGTGCGTGTAAACTCTTATATAAGTTCACCGAGCATCTTGACGTTTTATTTTTTTTTTATATAATTATGGTGACAAACGAGCACACAGTCCACCTGATGGTAAGTGGTTGCTGTGGCCCATAGACATCTACATCTATCTTCGTTTGTGAATTAAAATGTAGATGCGTCGTCACCCGTGAGGACTAAGATGGAATGCCTTTTTACCAGTAAAAAGGGTCTCCGGTTCTCTACACCCACCATACGAAACACAGCAGCGTTAAGTTGCTATTTTACGCTGGTATTCTGTGAGAGCGTGGTCCTTCCCCGGTCGAGCCGGCCCATTCGTGCTACAACTATACTATTAATATAGCTGCACCATGGCTCTACCACGTAAACCCACGCTTTATACTATTGGCATTTAGAAAACATTATGATGCTTTACACTGTATAACGATTGGATAATACCATATTAAAATGCTATTGTAAAGCCTTTAGTTTTAGTGCAGCAAACCACAACGCAGCTCTACAACTTTCAGCTGTTTTTCGTGCATTTGGATATCATTAGCATTAATATCAATAGCATTTTTAAGTAGTAAATAAATGTTTAATGCTGTTTAATAGCATATAAATATGAACCATTATAATGCCACGTAGATACGCTATACAGCTTTCAGATGTTTTAGTGCCTTCGGGTCTACAATAGCATTTGCGAAAAAAAAGTAGTAACCTAATACCTAATGGTGCTTAATAGCATGAACTTGTACCGTTATAATGCACATGACTCCTGAATCGAAAATTTCACATCCCCAGTGTTTTTGAAAGACCTATTTAAAGATACCCCACATGATGGAATAGACGGGTAAAAAAAATCATCCTTCATTTACTTGTATGGAAGTACTCAAAATAAAAATGTTTATTAAAATTAAAATCAAAATAAATAATTTTCACAATTTTCTAGACGTGGTTAATATCTATCTAAGAACTATTCCAAATTACAGATTTGTAGCATCTAGGATCTCTGAGCAAAACCGCGGACCGACACCGACGGACGGACGGACATGGCGAAACTATAAGGGTTCCTTGTTGTGTAACGACGAAACCCTAAAACTGCAAAGGATACGGTATTAATATCAATAGCGAATAACTAATATGGTTGTAGCAGAGAATGGGTTGGCTCGACCGGGGAAGTGCCACGCTCTATATAATAGCAGTGTAAAATAGCAGCTTAATGCTGCTGTGTTTCGTATGATGAATGTAGAGAATCGGAGACGCTGACTGACGCAGACTGGATACGAGGCATTCCATCTTAGTCCTCAGAGTTGACAACGCATCTGCATATTGATTCTTAATCGGAGACCAATGTAGATGTCTATGGGCCACAACATCCACTTACCATCAGGTGGACTGTGTGCTCGTTGGTCAACATTATTCTATAAAAAAAATCACTCACCTTCACCTTGGCACTATGCTCAATGATGTCAATAGCGTTTTCCAATTATCTATTTCAATGATCTAAGATGAGCAAAAGAAAGGTTATGTATGACGTCTATGTCACATCTATGATGATTAGTTGATGAGGACGCTACCAACGCTAGACTTGTTGTTGACGAATATGTTGACCTAGTACAAATTGTGCGACTAGCTAAGTTCAACTCCGATCAGGGTCAATTTTTTTTATAGGACAGTGTGACAAACGAGCACATAGTCCACCTGATGGTGAGTGGTTGCTATGACCCATAGACATCTACATCCATCCTCAATAAAGACTCAAAATGCAGATGCGTCGTCACCCGTGAGGACTAAGATGGAATGCCTCTTTTCCAGTAAAATGGGTCTCCGGTTCTCTACACTCACCATACGAAACACTGCAGTGTCAAGCTGCCATTTTACGCTGGTAATCTATGAGAGCGTGGTTCTTCCCCGGTCGAGCTGACCCATTCGCTACTAATATGGCTGCAGCATGGCTCTACCTCATATAAATATAATAGTATATCTACGGATCCAACTCAGCTAGGCATCATTCGGGTGATTACAACATATCTTATCGCCACGTATTCCTCAAAATATTAAAACAATAAAATGCAGTACAGTATCAGCCGAAAAAGCTGAAAAATTACTTATTCGTTCGATAATTTTTTTTTTATTAAAAAGTTCAATTCTTTCAATATGATATTTTATAATATCATTACTAGCGATCCGTTCCGTATTCGCAGGGACCCACTCAATAATACACAAAAAGAAATCATCAAAATTGGTCCCACCGTTTTCGAGTCTTTATGAGAGTAAAGGCGCGTCTCCACCAAAAATGTTGACAACATTTATGTTTCCGACATGTTGACAAATCAACAAAAGTTGGCGACATTTGTTTCAAAACGTTGCAAGAAGCGTCTCCACCGAGGGAACAAATGTCGGCAACAAGCGTATTCCTTTGATTTGCAACATTTTGAAACAAATGTCGTCAACTATTTGTTGATTTGTCAACATGTCGGAAACATAAATGTTGTCAACATTTTTGGTGGAGACGCGCCTGACAGAAACATTTGTCGGCAACACGTGTTGACAAATATTTGAAAACTTTGGTGGAGACGCGCCATAATGTTCCGACAGATTCAGACCGAGCCTGGGGCAAACACGAAATACGCATAGCAGCACCCTTCAGCGTTACCATAGAAAGTACTTGGAATGAATAAATTAGGAGGTATATTATTACTTTAAAATTTTCATGTAGAAGGGGGTTAATTCAGTAATTTCCAGTTTTAGGGAAAAGAGATAATTGCGTTTTCAGCCGCTGAAATCGAGACAAAAATCCCGATTAGAACGAAAAATATCTACATTGTACAAGGCTGCCATGAACTCTAAGGGTATTGAGCAGCACCATAGTGAGAGAGGTTAAGGAAAGTCAGTTGGAGGGCTTTATAAATTAGGGTTCGATGGAGGCATTGGAAAATTAGAAGAGGAAACGCGAAAATTAACGAAAAATATCGTCTTTGTACTAGGTTTCCATCACTTTACTATGAGACTTTACATTAGAAAAGAAAAACTAAGAGAAAATAAAAAAAATATATTATTTATTGTATTTAATATGAATTGAGAATTTTCATTAGAACGAAAAATATCTATATTATACTAGGCTCTCATAAACTTGAGTAGGCTACAGAAACGCAAAATGGCGTAAGAGAAAGAAAGACTACTTGGGGGAGCTGAAGAAATATTTCACGCATGCGCGAATAGACCATTACGAAGGAGGGTGACCTTGCCAAAATACATAAAATATACGAGAATGGTACACACATACTTTCATTTTAATAATCTACATAAACACAACAATTTCATGTAATGGAGAATATGATGTTTATAGTGTATAATATTTAGTGGTATGTGACTTTATTTTTTTACATTAAATAATGGCTTATCAAGTACTGAATGTTAAATATACTGCTACTGCTCATTCACTTGCTAATCCTGACAATTACTCGGATTCCCGATACAACTGGAAAGATCCATTGTATCGACAATATACTATAGGATAAATGTAGATGTCTATTAGCCACAGCATCCACTTACAGTGAGCTCGTTTATTACCTATATTATAAAAAAAAATTCTGAAGTCAGCGCTAAGGCATATTGTACAGAAGAATTAAGGCTCTGACTTCAGTTCAGTTGAGGTTCGAAAAATTCTCAACCCCTACAACTGAAGGCGGTCAGTGTACATCAAATATACATTCCAGTAGGACCGAGGGATAGCGGCCTCCTTTTAGCAGTGAAAAGACACGCTTGTGTTTTGGAGGCGTTGCATCTTACGAGATTTGCATCGCCCCATTAGAAGACTGTCTGTAGTGAGAGATTCGCACGCTCGACCATAGCTCCTCTTTCGGACTGGCTTTTATCCCGACTAGCCCGAGCATTCGGCTGGTACCTCTCCACAAGTGTGGTGTCGTCTGCATACCCCACACAACAGCGTTGCGAAGAGAACGGACCCCTGAGAAACTCGTTTATCGCTATAGGATAGAACGAGCAGCCATCGACGAGGATTCGGAAAGGTCATTCATGCAGTCCTTGTGTTCCCTGTCCTTCCGTCCGTCAGGACAGGGGATAAGCCGTAAGCTGGAAGTTTGTCCAAAAGCCTAGCGTGCCAAATCCTGTCATAGGCCTTCGAGACATCAAGGGATACAGCAAGTACCCCTTGATGTCTCGATGTAAGTTTTATACATGGTAGAGCCATGCTGCAGCTATATTTCTGGGACAGTTGTAACACGATTAGGTTGGCCCGACTGGGGAAGGACCATACTCTCACAGAATACCAGCATAAAATAGCAGCTTAATGCTGCTGTGTTTCGTATGGTGAGTGTAGAGAACCGGAGACCCTTTTTACTGGAAATGAGGCATTCCATCTTAGTCCTCACGGGTGACAACGCATCTACATTTTGATTCGTATCGAGAATAAATGTAGATGTCTATGGGCCACAGCAATCACTTACCATCAGGTGGACTATGTGCTAGTGTGTCACCCTTATCCTATAAAAAAAAAGTGCTACCCCACTGAACTCGAGGGCTTCGCCCCATATGTGAGTGGCATAAGCTAGAAGGTCCCCAATTAATCGATTTCGGCGAAACCCGTAGGCGGTCACTGAGGAGATTATTCTGCTCTAGTTATGCCATCAGGTGGGTGTTCAATATACGCTATATTATCTTGCACAATATCGGTATTGCGAGCTGTATTTTTCTTTGCATCATCATTACAGCCCGTCATAAGGCCATTGCTGAAAAAAGGCCTTCCCCTGCCTTAAAGCAGTCTCAAGCCATGAATAATGAAGACAAACTGACAAATGAGCACACAGTCCACCTGATAGTAAGTGGATGCTGTGGCCCAGGTGTGTACATTTATCCTCAATTAAGAATCAAAATGCAGATGCATTATCACCCATGAGGACTAAAATAGAATACGTTGTTTCCAGGAAAAAGGGTCTCCGGTTCTCTACACACACCAAATGAGATCAGCAGCATTGAGTTGCTATTTTACACTGGTATTCTGAGGGTGTGTTCCTTCCCCGGTCGAGCCGACACCATCCATACTACAACTATAATATAGCTACGGCATGGCTCTACCACATAAAATTAAAGAATGTTATCAGCTAAGCAGCATTCATAGGTAATCTTATTATTCCATCCAACTATTTACTGGTATGTTACCCTAATTCTACTGTTCTTAATGTTTTAAGGCTGAGAAAATAAAACAGCATTTTCAGTATTGTAAACACTTTATTATACTTCACACGGAACACTGTTCTTAGATATTACATTATACAAGACTAAATGCATCACTTGTTTTATGAATTAGTTGTAGCTTTGTAATAAAACTGAGAACTATGGAATTATAACATATTACATTTTTAAGAAGATTTTAGCATATTAAACCAGGCAGTTCTTTACTTTAGTTATATCCTTTAAATAAAATGTGTATATTTGCTGTTTACTTTAAACAATAGATTATAACTCCAAAAGTAATGGCAATATCAAAATCCTATCTCCTATATAAAATTGAGAATTGTTATAATGGCAGGGATTTTCTATTTATGACAGAATGTTTTATGACATAAAATATAAATTTTGGCAAAACCATGTAATGTTTATGTAATTTAAACTTACACCACTATTGAGTAAATTACTCAATATTTACAGAATTTTAACACAGTAATTTACAGATGTATCTACTGTAATATTGATAATAACTTGGTTCTAGTAGATAGTAATTTGTAGGATTGTGAAAGAACTACTTCCCGAGATACACAAAAAAAGTAACTTAAATTTAGTAGATATGTATAGAATAAAATATTGCATATACATATTATGTTATATACGCTACATTTTCAAAAAGTTAATTTGACTGGGCAGTTGTTTGAAATATACTTTATACACGGAGTCAGATATTTGATGTCATACAATCACATTAAGAATGCAAATTTCAGGTATTGTTGTTTTAGATGCCAAACAGCTTTTTATATAAGGACAGGAAGATGTTAAGTATTTCACAGAATTAATTTTTAAATAAATACAAGACTTATCATTTTCAATAGACACTGTCATTACAATTAATTGTATGTGAATTATCTTTTCAGAACCTCAAAAATTGAAGGCCTATGCCCAGCAGTAGAATGTATGTAGGCTGTAACTTTATTTTTTTTATTTTAAATTAAAACATTAGTGTATGTACCTAAATACTTTATAAGTTAAACAAGTTTAAATTTTGAAATAAATGAAAATTTTAGTGAAGTTGTGGATGCATTTGTAAAATGGTTTACATAAACATTTTTAATACACCTTTATTTAATACAAATACATTTTGAAATGAGTGGTTACTGACATGGAAGTGAAGCTAGGGAATGTTTTGGTGCAATCTTTTACCAGAAATAATTCTTGTACACCAGTTTTTAGCTTAGCTCCACCATGTGTAAAGAGAAAATAAAGTGATAAATTTAATGTTTCCCTATGAAAGACAAATGAAACTACAAAGTCTGCAGTCCAAAAATATAATCACATACTTAAGAAACTTATTAACTAAGGAACTAAAATTATCGTCTTCCACGACCACGGCCTCCGCGACCACCTCTCGGTCCACCACGACCACCACGGCCTCTGCCTCTTCCGCCTCGAGCTCCGCCTCTCGGAAATCCTTCGCGTTTACCACGACCTTTCGGCGCGTCGTCCAACAACAAAGTTTCTATAGGCAGACTGTCAGGTAACAAATAGTACCTTATATTGTTTCCGCGTATACTTAAAGTTTCCAGTTGAAGCTCTTCTTTGTTCTTCAATGTAACTTTTACTGCTTTGAGATGCGTATTCATTGCTACATCTACACCAGTAATCGTGCCATGTACGATACTGCCATTTTTAAGCTCAATTGTCACCGTCTCGTGGCTGAGTTTCATCAAAAACCTAACGAGTTTCATTTTTCTTGTATATTTTCACTAGTTTTTAACTAAAACACTAACGGCGTCGGCTGACCAAGTTAACCTCAAAAACGGCCAAACAAAATTATGGCGGCTAGCAGCTAGCTGTGGCGGATGAAACCATACCATGAGTAGTTTATCTATGGAGTAGACCATAGATAAACTAATATAATCGGGAGTAGACTAATATATAAATAATACTGCAGAATTATGGAGTGTATAGTACACTCCTTTAGGCCAACCATATGCAGAATGAAATGGAAAAACATAGATAAAATAATCATAGATAAATATATATGTATGAAAATAATGGATGAAAATTAAAAAAATGCCATATTTTTAATTTCCACGATGCATAAAGTTCTATGAAAGGCATAGACTATCTACTTCAGTAGCGGTGTGTCGTTATGTGTTTTGTAAATAACGTAACGTTATCGTTATGGTACAACGGATAACGTTATCATAACTATCTATATTCATAACTGTCTATTTTCCATATAACGGCAACTTAACAATATACTGTCATAAAACAGTTATCATCAATATTATTTTCGTTTTGTGTTATAAAAGTTAAGATTTAAATGCTAATTTAGTTGCTGAAATGAACTTTCCTTCGTACTTTTGACATCTTTCGAGGAAATAAGGCATCCGTTATTCATTTGTGTTGAGACTGCGGTACAGTACAGCTGATGGCATCACGGAGGTTGGATTTGACATCAAAGGCTGGCTCAAAAAGTTGTCTTTTAAGTTAGTGCTGACACAAGGCCACCCAAAGTGTTCACAGGTCTCGAAGATCTAGCAATCGTTTGCTGTTCTAACGAAACTTATGTGTACGCTTCTATATATCGCTGCCGTAAATGTAACTTCAGATAACCTGAAGTCGTCTGAAAACTAAATTCGTTTTTACAAATATTACAACGCGCTTTTTTATTTAAATTATCAGTTTTTTTCGTAAAAGTCCCACAAAACACAGTGTTTTGTCGCGACATTGTTTGTTTGCTATATTACAACCTACAACGAAGCTACATCTATATTTACAATCACGAAATCAAATAAATATTTACAAAGTTTTTCATTCGTTTTTAGACTTCTTTTATGAACACTAATATCACTATGCGTGCTTTATGCTTCGAAATAAACTTGGAATCAGCAAATAAAGCAAAATTTTTAAATAATTATATTACACCCAAAATTTATTATTGCACTTGTTCCTCAGAGATCTAATTAATATGAAAACTCAAGTTCAAAAGTTGAAGGACAGAAGGTTAATAACAATATTTCATCTTAACAAGGTCAAGGCTATTAATGCAGTTTAATCCTTACATTTTGGGGCACAAGTATTATTTTTCAATATTTACTGTGTAGAATTTATTAATAAACAGCACGAGGTTTAAAATTGCTTTATTAAAAAAGACACATTGACAATTTGAAATAGTTATACAAGTATCTATATGAAAAAGAAAGAAATAAACTTATTTCTCGAATTTCGCTTCGCTCACCTACACGTTTCAATATGAGCCCCTCTGCAGTTTCGTTCTTATCGTACAGGGCATAACATTTGTTTTTGTACGGCAGCGAGTGCGTGATGTTTTAATATCACGAATCACGATTCCAAGCCAACGCAACGTTGCAGCGTTGCGGTTCAAAGGTACTCTGTGCGTTGCGGATCGTTATAAAAAAATAGAGCTCAGAAGGGCTAGAACCCAGAGCGGTAAAGCCAGTTTAAAAAAATATATAAAAAATAGACGCTCATGACGGCTCATGAGCGTTATGTTTATCTATTTATAGTGCCACCAACTTATCTGTTCAGGTGGACAAAATTGGAACTAAAACCGCCATTTTGTAAATGACATTTCGCTGTCAGCTATTATTTACCTATCAGGCGAGTGTTTTTAAAAAGTGTAAATAAATCTTAAAAGTGATGCGCGATAGATTATCCTAAAAGTTTTATCTTTTATGAAAGAAGAGAAACGTGTACAAGTTCCAACTATACCATTTGAAAACCTGTATGAAAGCGTTGCTGCCGTGACAGGTTAGTATTGCCAGATATGGAAAATTAAAATCACCAAATAATGTACTTGTGAAACAGTAAAAAAATTATCTCAATTTACTGCAATTCATCTAAAGTACCTAACTTTGTAGTTTGTGCTGCTAATGTTCTAATGCCCCAATAAATTGAAGATTCATTTCATGAAATTACACCGGTTCAGTGGAAAAACATTTGTAATCATGTAAAAAAAAAATTGAAAATGAATAAAGACTAAAAGACGTGTATTTAAATGAACCCTTTATTATAGAGGGTCAGAGAGATAGTGAAAGCGATTCCAGTGACTCAGGAGATGAATTATTCGAACCAGTAGCTAACGCGGATACATTTTTCAAAACAGAAATTCCTAGAATTCTGCCGCTTGAACTCGGAGATCATGACCACAATTATTTTTTTAAATATAAATAATATATATAATAACACTAATTCTCACTAATTTTAATATATTAACACGAAATTTGTTTTATTTTATATTATGTGTAATGAATATGTAGTTACATATTTTCTCGGTAAATTTCTTAAATGGCAATAGTAAGCACTCCACTAGCGACGCTGTCAACTGAACAGATAAGTTGGTGGCACTATATATCATGTTGCAGCGTTGCGGTTCAAAGGTACTCTGTGCGTTGCGGATCGTTATGAGCGTTATATATAACTATCTATACGTTATAAAGTAAATAGACGTTTCCATAACTATATATACGTTATAATGCTATCCTTCAGTAAAGACAATAATATACGGCATTGTTCTTAATTTTTATGATATAATATATAAAATTGTAGTAACTGAATTATTTAACATTATTATATTATACTATGTGTACTTAATAAACTTTCTGAATATAAAGTTATGGAGAAGGCTAAGGCTTATTTTTTATTTACAAAAAATAATATAATTTAAAAATGATTTCATTAATAAGTGATGATAATCATACAAGTACAAATCTGTATCATTACCATTACATTTTATCAAAAGTCCACTCCGGAACATATGACTCTTACAATATCTTATAGGGGAATATTTGCCATAGGTGGCAGCTATATTATAATCTTTATATATTGTAGAGATGCACAGATTGATATTATGGAGTAATGGATTCTCTACGGCAATCTTTCATTTACAAGGAATATTTCCAGTGTTCCTCATTTCATTCTCGAGGGTACAAAATAGACGGTAAGTAATTAATTTGAAGTGATTCGCTTATGTAATGATTTTTTTATTTTATATTTTTTCGCTCTTTACTATTTTCGAGTAACAATAGAGCGACAGACCGGAGGGTGAAAGCAACAAAATAAAAGGCAAAAGAGTTGCATATTAAAATAACGTAGATAAACAAGAAACTTGTTCTTCAAGGCAAAAACTACTCCTCAGAGTTGAATATAAGTCTCCCTTACATATGTGATGATAGTTAAGATAAATGATGCTTGGTTATTGACAACTTGCTAAAAGATTTGTTACAGGTGTAGTTTGAGCGGAATCCCACAGTTCATGCACACTAGACTGGATGGAATTCACCAAGAAGCAATTGTGAAAAACTAATGGTAGCTTTTTCACTACCGAATATCATTCTGTGGGTGTCGTAGGAAGCGGTTGAGGGAAATGAAACAGGAAACCGACTTATAATCGTGGGCACTTTTAACAATAAAGCCTACCAATTTGTAATTGATTTTGAGCATCACAGACGATTGTAAAACCGGAACTCCTAAAGCGAACTATAACGTGGAAGCAACTTTGCAACTTTTTATTGATTGCCAGTAATAACGAGGACTGCATCTTAGGACTTGATTTTTTTTTAAATGCGTTTCGTTGGAGAGTAGAGGCGGTATATAATGCCGACAATTTGTTAAGGACAAAACGCACCGTACGAAACCGGAGCCTCAGCAAAATGTTATCAGAAATGAATTTCTGATTAGTAAGGAGCTGAAGGATCGTTATGATCGGAGAGTAAACACAAATGAATTTGATGTGAGAACTCTTGTATGGTTGCATAATCATTTCAGGAAAGAAGTATATATAGCTATATATACTTTTTTTATATAGAGCTTGAAAAGGTTTCAAGCTCTATAGGAAGGACCGTACAGTGGAAGAAAATATCGATGATGACAAATACCGCATCAAGAAAAGGTAAAGAGGTAAAACAAAGGTAGAACAAAATAGATCTACTAGCACGGATCCCTATAAGACAATGCTCTAGACAACACTCAAACTATCAATGTAAGCACGCCTCAACCTTATGTCCACTTTTGTTAAGCCTTTTCTCCTTTGGACGTATTATTAATGCGAGTTTTCTATTAGTGTTATGACCCGGGTTGACCTAAAATGTTCTACATTTTTTTCTTTTGTTTTATTTTTTAAAACAACATTACCTCCACACTAGGATTTTCCCCTGTATCGCGGGGGCAGTTGACATACACATATTTTACAAGGACAAACATCCAGACCCAGAAGGCATTACTTATTAAATTGACAAATTGTGTGATAATTCATCGAAACAATAAAACACAGGAAATCTATTTAAGCGTCAGAGTGAGTTTTACAAGCAATTTGTATGTTATTATTTATTACTCATAAGATTTAAGCGTTGTGTTCATCTTAAGTTCATAGAGTATTTTACCGCTATTATTTTCTTTGCATAAAGGTTATTTGACAAATTCTGACAATTTTGGACAAGATAAGGCTGTAAAGCTGTGCTATAAAACTAAAACAATTCTTATAAATAAAACCCAAATTCTTATTTATTTTAGTGTTAGCTATTAAAGAACGCAGGAATATGAATGTTACGGAAAGCATTGGTGAAATTGAATCTGATAGGGAAACAGAATCAGAAGATAAAGAAAAAACTATTTCTGCTCGATTAGTATTTACGAAAGAACAGGTTAAAATGAAAATATTTTATTTCGTATATTTCAGAGAGACCTTTGAATATGGCATCACTATAAACGCATTGGGCCAAGTTAGATCGATAAAGGAGATCATAGCCCCATAGTTTAATACTTATTATAATCTCTCGAAATGGAAAATCAAATAATAGATTTATCTTTAACTGGTGATTTTTCAGAAAAAGTTAGTGAACATAATGAGAAAATATTAAAAGAGAAAGAAGTGAAACCTAAATTAGTATTAACAAAGAATCAGGTCAAATAGTAAACTGTGTTAAAGCGAAGTAAACGACTCGTATTAAAAGTTATAAGTTCTTGTATTCAAATTGTTTTCATTTCTTTTTTGCAGGAGAAAGACCTACGTGAAGCATTTAACCTTCTTGACCATACAGGGGAAGGAAAAATAAAAGCTGATGACTTTCGTGTAGTAATAAAAGCATTAGGTAAATGTTAAGAAGCATATTATACGTAACGAATAAAATATATTTGGTGTTTTGTCTAATTAAGTTGGAGAAAAGAAATATTTTCACAGTGTACGTTGTTAAATATATTTTTGACATTGTTGTGAGTTTGCGATTCTACATAACTTTATATATTACTTGAGCAAAGCTTAAATAATGATTTGTGTGGTGAAATCGGGTTAGATAAAAAACAACGTAATTCTGGAGTAATACATACAACAGGATCCAATTTAAAGATATTAAATCTCTGGTTCCCTGGGACAACAAACAAGCGCAAGTCCCAAATATATTTTTTTTTTCAAAGAAAAATGGGTTCTCTAACAAAAATATTCATTTTAGAAAATGAAGAGTCTATTTATATTTAATACTATTTTTAAATATCATCATCAGCCATAAAAGTGTACTTCTATACGCGACATTGGCTTATAACGTTGCAGGGAGGATTTGTTTCAATCCTATCCCTGTCCCATGAATCATATATGAACATTTAAATTATTTAACTATTGTATTTATATCGTGGACAGGGAAACTGTCAATCTTCACGCTTGGCAGGCTTGGCTTGCTTCACTTTAAAGGTTTGGATATTTTAAGAGATGGTATACAATCATCTGCGGGGTCATAAAGTTTTACTGGTTTTTGATGAATTCGCATCCGTATTTAATTCTTCTTCATCAGCTCGTAAAAGTCCACAGCTGAACAGGGGTTTCTTGATTGATGATCGTAGTATAAAACGTCTCGCACCTTTATTCGGTGTTCCAGATGTTTATAGCGTTCAGATGTTTGAATGATGATAATGATGGTCATCCAACATTCGTGCCGCATGCTCGTTTACCTCCTCTTCTTTAAAAATAAATTTCTCGCTTAACCTGGTCATCAAGTCAGTAAACCTATGCACAACCATGTATCTATCCGACATTATGAGATCTGTAAAGGACGAAATGTGGTGCTTGATTCTGTAACACCGCCAACACTTTTCTTAACATTTGCAAACTTACAGTTAACCAATTGTATGTTTAATGTGATTTATTGAAACCCATTTCCCTGGGGCATCGTAATTTCTGTGTTCGATAGTAGACGTAACCAAAATTACAAAATATATAAGTTAAACGTTTTCAATTCTGGATGTATTGCGATTTTCCCAAGCACCGAGCTTGTCGCTACTAACAGTTGCGCAGTTGTTTGACGTTTTACGTTTAACTTATTGCATTCTTAACATAATTATACTTTATTTAACTCATTGTATATTTAGCATATATTTCATTTAACTTCAAAAATCTTGAACGATTTCAAGATTTTTTGCATAGATATGCCGGAAACACGGAGACAGATTCGCTGTGTTAGCCGTGGGCAGAAGCTAGTAGGTTAATAAATGAATTTAAATTTAATTAAACTTGAGAAAATATTATTTTCTTCATAGTCAATTTTATTTTTCCGATAAGGCTACGAACCCACCAAGGAAGAACTTCAGCAAATGATAAGCGGCGTTGATAAATCGCAGACAGGAAAATTAAGTTTTGAAAACTTTGAAACTGCCATTATGAGAAAAATAATGTCCCAGGACAGTGACGGCGACATTATGAAGAGCTTCCGTCTTTTTGATGCAGATGACAGTGGTGAATATTAAGTTTTTATTTATTAAAGGGCGACAAACGTGCACACGGTCTACCTGATGGAAAGTAGATGCTGTGGCCAATAGACACTTATATCTTAATTCTCAATTAAAAATCAAAATGCAGGTGCTTTGTCATCTGGGAAGACTAAAATGGGACATTTGAAAAAGTCCCCCGGTTCTTGTCACTCACCATACGAAGCACAGTAATAACATGCTGCTACTTTATGCTTGTATTTTGTGCGAACGTGGCTCTTCCCCGGTTATGTCAACACCATTAGTACTGCAACCATATAGCCGCAGTGTGCCTCTAGCACGTTAAATCATGTAAGTAATGTGTTTCTCAATGTCAAAATAAAGTTCTTTAAACTGAAATCTCTGGACTGATCCAGATGCAAATGTTTTATTGCAAAATCATAGTAGGAATGCGTTTTACTATACCAATAAATAAGAAATGTGTGTAAATAAATGTTTATTACCCACTTTACTACTCAAGTTATTGACATTATTGTCATTATAAGAACTTGCTCACGTTACAGGTTTTATAAGTTTCGACAATGTGAAACGGGTCTCTGAAATTTTGGGAACCCACCTGACTGATGAAGAAATCGAAGAAATGATTGATGATGCTGATAAAGATTACGATGGACTGGTGATGCACGTTTTTATTTACATAACGTATTTTTAGTATTTTATGTGTGGCGAAAACAAGAAGTATACCTCCATTTTTCGGAAGCCATAAGGTTTTTTGGCATTTTCCCCAGTCGTCTCTTACGATACTTATAGAATGAAACAGGGTGATGCATTTCCTTACATAGTCTTTACACAGGACAGGATCTTGCTATTCAATTTTCGCCCACTTCTAGACGTTCCATATTCGAATTAAGACAATTAGTTTTTAGATTCGGATTGACAAAAGATGAAAAATTATTTCGAGGCTATGACTTGGTACTGATGATAGATGTTTCATATTGTTGCCGCAATCGGCTCATGTTGAAAAGTAAATAATTATTTCATTTTGTATACAACCGAGGTATATTATTAAATTTACTGTTTAGAGATCCGCAAAGAACCTTTATATTTTAATTTGTGTTCAGCTGTAATTTTATTTTTTATTTTTACGATATAAATTTATAACAAAAAAACTCTTTTTCAGATATCAGTGCAAGAATTTATGAAAATGATAAAAACTTCAGTTCATATAGAAACCCCTTGAGTTTTTCTGGCGAGAGAATTCTATGGTTTTTTCTTCATATTAAAATTTAAGTATTTCAGGTTTTTGTTTTCTTCTTCTCTATCAAACCCTAAGTGTCTTGTGCTGGAACCTTTCCCATAGTTACGAGAAATTTTCAGATCACTTTATACGCTTAACTGGCGTAATCGCAATCTTAAAACCAGAGATGTCGCTCCTTTGAAGCTGTTTTCCGTCGCAGGTCTGAGCATTACGCATTCTGGTATATAAGAGATATTACCGCCTACTTAGTATAAATCTTTTGGAGGTTATACACGTTGGCGTAGCTAACTATTTAGTCTAGGGGGGGGGGGACCGCCTTCCAGCTGAACAACCACAGTATTTTAATTAGAGATCATAATTGGCGCGTAATAATAAATAATAATGCAGTTCATTCACTCTCTTTTTATCATTTGGCGTCTTTCTTAACTCCTTATTGTAAAGTTGACAGTCTAATAGCTAAATCTAAATTAATATTATAAATACAAAAGAAATTCTGGTATGTCTGTCTGTTACCTTTTCACGCTTAAATAAATTTCGATAAAGTTTGGCAAAAATGTATGAAGTGTAGTGTCCTAGGGAAGGTACTTTTTACCACGGGAAAATATCTAAATCCGAAGCTAATCTAATACTTAATTTTTGTTATGATACATACAGCGTTTCAATTGAGTGCATACGTGTCCTTTCTTACAGCCGCACATTTCTTGTGCAATTAGGTATGCTAGACTTACTCTAGCATACCTAATTACAAACTGTGACAGAAACGAAAGACAATTTTGATAATACAGATTTTAGATGAAGTGAGTATACCCACCCCGTGTAGTGGCGGGTAAGGATACTCACTACCCCATATCTTCCTGTGGGTGTCGTAAGAGGCGACAGAGTGAAACTGAGGCAGAGGATGGGCAGAAGCATCTTTCTGATATCAGCAAAAACCAATAAAAAAACTGCGGTTGCCGCTCGCCAAGCGTGGCAACTATGGAAATATACCCACCAAATAAATAAAGTTACTAAGAGACGGCCCCCAGTCCCCGGCGGCACCGCTATTCCTGGCTACGGTGGCCACCATGGTAACGGCGGGGCAGGGGGTGCTAGGAATCTCCGGTGGAGGTTCGGTTGCCACCTACGACGACTCGACCTGGCAACTTATAACGCACGCACCCTGAGGACTGACTAGAAGATCCTGGAGCTGCAAGAAGAGATAGACAATTTGCACTGGAATATTATAAGATTACCCGAGGTCCGAAGAGAGAAGGAGGACACGGTAATCCTCGAATCCGGCAACTTGTTCTATCACCGGGAGGGCGACCATCTGTCCCAAGGAGGTATCGGATTTATCGTCCACAAGTCTCTCGTTAACAACGTTTTAAAGATTGAGAGTGTGTCGACGTCACCAAACGGTATTCGCTGAAGGTCATACAGTTTTACGCACTTCGGCACACCCCAAAGAAATCACAGACTTAGAATATACCATATTCTAAGTCTATGATTTCAGCGTTGTCAACTCTATGTATTTTTCCGTAGATCTACGGAATTTTGTCATCATCTATGGAACTACGGAATTTGAGGTTGAACTCAACGGAATTTTTAAAAACTTATCTAATTTTTTGGTGAGTTTAATCGATTTCAAATTTTAATAGCGTAGATATTTTGCATTAAATTACGTTTATTTCGAATTTCGAACACTTCTTGGAAAATGGGCAGTTGATACAAACGCTTATAAAATGTTCATAGATGATTGAATTGTCACTTAGGTCTCTGATTTATCTAATTCAGGCTATTCCAATTGTTTTTAGAATTATAAAATTTTAGAATTTCAGACAAAAACAAAAATTTTCGATACTCTTTAAATGTCTGCAGATCTACGGATATTTTAAAATAGCATCTACTGAATTCTACTAAATTTTTATACTAATCTACGGATTTGCAAAAATTCGAGTTTTCAACGCTGCTCAATTTCTCAGAGAAAGAGAAGTTTTCGGGAGAACTTGACCGGCAACGGATTGCTCCTCCTGTATTATTGTTTAAATATTTGTTTGAAGTAGATTTTTGGTATGTGAAAGTGGTACGATTTTGTGTATTAAATAACTGCGCATGTAAACTATAAATGGAAACGGTGTAAAAAGTTCTCCGATGGTGTTGTGAATGTTAATCTCAAGATAAGGTGTCTGTTTGATTAGGCGCCGTAAGATACTATCACCAACTGTCTGCTGGTTAAAGTTACCGTCATAATCTCCCAAAAACCTACGCAATGTGTCGCATCAACTTTCCGTGAAGCAGTGTACTATAAAGGATTATTATCACTTGATACTAAAAATCTATAAAAACGAAAATCCCGAATGAAATGAACACATGGCTTAAAGAACAAGCATCCAAGCCAAAAATCTTAATAAAAAACCAATAACGTATTTAACGAAAACGAATTTTATATTAAAAAAAATGAATACAAACTTAAAGATAAACGTTTAAAATGCGTAGTATACCGCTATATTTAAACTACATAGGTAAACTGCAAGAAATTTATTAAAAACTAGAAAAAAGTATAAAAACAGAGCTAATAAGTGAATCTTCCATACAAATGTCGCAGAGACAAGACAAGAAGAGTCTGTTTTGAAAATGGGTGAGACTTTATTCATGACCTACAAATTAAACATTTAAATCAATAGTGACATACATAGATATAATTAATTATGATGTTTCAGATTCAGAAGACATCACGTTGGAGGAGAAATGCGAAAATCTTATGAACGTGGTCGTTGAATCTCGTAAAAGATTTGGAAAAATGTGTGTAGAATACGAACAAAAATCATCACTTATGGAGAATAAAATGCTTAATTTACAACTCGAAACCCTATCTAACCTCAGATTCAAACCTATGAGTAAGATTCTCAACATAGATGTAGATATTATGAAGAAGGAAGTGGACAATTTTGCGGCAGATATTTTGGAAAGACAAAAAAGGATAGAGAATTTAAAGAAAAATGTAAGAAATGCACAGCATATAGTTTTACAGCTTAAAGAAGACAAAATTGACAAGAAGCTTCGAAAACCACTCACTGCAGAGGAAATGTTAGCAGTTGCTAAAAGCACAAAATGAAATGTATTTGTAAGATGAATTTTATGTCAAGTTAACATAGTTTTGAGAAAGATTTTCTATGATTAGAGTGAGCAGACCAATTCCTGTTTCCATTGAATTCTCTGTAAATGTAAACAATGTTTAGAGATTCTTATTTAGAAATATAAGTTTATTTAAGTATGAATATTTTCAACCGATTTCAAAAGAAGGAGAGGTACTCAATTTGACTTTTTTTTTATGTGTCCAGGTGAACTAATATTTATGATTCTGTTTTATTTGAAAGCTGGTGCTTCTCATGTGGTCCCATATAAATTTGATCAAGATCTGACCAGTAGTTTTTGTCTTATCCTTAATAATGCTTATTTAATTGACTTGGCCCACATTGATGATGTTTTCATTTTATTGAAGTTGGTTGTACAAAAATTTTAATTTTACCGCTTGTTAGATTCTTAACTGTAAGTAAATATCAGTTTTATAGGTGGAACAGCTGGGCTTTTCTTATTTCTGAGAGGACTGGGAGGGCTAAGAGAAAGCAACTAGTCCTTAATGCCGCATATATGCATGTGAGACCTTGCATGTCCCCAAAATATTTTTCTCTAACATGCAGATGTCATCACTATGTTTTCTTTCACTGCCAATTGAGCTGTAATTTAGCACTTAATATTGTAATTAAGAATATCAAAGGTGCTAGTGTTAACCTAAACTTGGTTCATATTTGATTTAAAAAATAAATTTGTGTAATAAATTTTTTGAAGAAATGTGTGAATGAGGTACATACATTTTATTTAAACATTTGTAAATTTTAATGATATTTATTAATAACATCCATACCATTATTGGCCTTCCCCAGATTGCCTCATAACTCATAAACAGGTTTTTGACATTATGGCCATGTTTGACAGGAGATTTAGCAACTGCAGTTTTATTATTATTTTGAGTTTTTTTGGGGTTGTACCGACACTAAGGGGTTGATAACCTGATAACGCTTGATAAGTCTGATAAAATATATTTTGGATAAGTTACAAATTATTAAGACTAGAATTACTGATAATAATGAGTACGCGTAGCGCTCTTGATAGCTATAAGCAAACTTATTTTATAATACAATTGCCGTGGATATATGTAAAAGAGGTCAAGTTGTGAAATGATGATTTGATAATTGTACATTGCATTTCATGCTCATACAGAGTTGTTAATAGGAAGATGCTGCTGCCCATCTCTTGTCACCTCTTACATCATCCATGGGACAATATCATGTAGTGGATGTTCTATGTAAATGTAGTTAAACCTACTTAGTGTTAGTTTTTAGACCTTTTGTATGCAAAAAACTTATAATTACTCAGACTGTCAAAAGTTGTAAGATAGGTGTTGTTATCAACTGAACAAAGTCCAAATGATAATATAATGATATGTTGATGACATTTTGGATTTGCTAATATATTGGCAAGGACGATGTTTATGCCAATTCACTAAAATGTTTCTGATTTCGCACTTCAAACATCAATGTAACCATGCCCCTACACTATTTTCCGAAAGAGTTATATCGCATCAGACAAACTATTGCCTCTATTTAAGTTTTATAGTTGTTAATATTACAACACCGCGCAAGTCAATTTCGCTAACTTTTCAGGAGAGACAAGAAACCTTGTTTATTGTTTTCACATCCAGATAGGTAATTTAGGGTACAAAATGTTTGTAGTTTAGATAAGGAATCATTTAAATATGCAACGGAAGAGAAGCAGTTTGCTTGCAGTAAGTAAAACAATTTTTTTATCAAATTATGTCTTTATTAATGTAAAAAAGCTGGCGTCCACAATAAATGTGTACTTTATCTAATAATCATACAGTCATAATTTATATGAATGTAGTACTATTTGAGTAGAATTTGAGTTCTTTTAGACTAGTCTAGACCTTCTAACTGTTTCATGGACGCTGGCACTATGCACACCTTTATCATTATAGAATACATAAATATCAAATCAATGTTTCAAGGACATTAATTAGTTTAATTCAATTCAGTCATATAACTTCAATTTTTTTTGTGTTGTAGAAGTATAGCCACCTTCAGAGGTAGAATTTTTATACAATTCAGCACATTAATGCCTGTTTTTATTATTAAATAAAATTTCATGCCATCAACAGAAAAAAATGATCCATGTCATCTAGACTTTCTTCATTGTTTCTCAATAGTATCATTGTTTTTAGTTCTCGTTCTCTTTGCAATCTCTTGTGATTTTCTTGGTTTAGCTGAAGTAGATCTGTAATTTCATTCAATTTTCTTTTATTTGTTTGGGATGCAGATGATAAACTTGATATTTCCGAACATTGTATGGAATTCACTTGTGGTGTACTGGGATCACTATAGCTGTGTAGAGCGCGAACTGCTATAGCTATTTTTATCTTGGTTGGATTGTTGCATAGTTGGGGAAGACTGATATCTTGATGAATTCAAATTTGTAGACCGCTTTCTGTTAGTGGGTACCAAGAACTCTGTTATCTTTTCATATTTCCACTTGCGGGTTTGCTTTCTAGCCTGTCCACTTCTGGTCGCATTTTTTTTTCTTCAATGCATCTCGGTGGCTTTCCCGTAGCCTTTTCGATTTAGATTTAGCAGTTAGTTTTAACTGAAAACAAAGCCTTAATTTAATACATAATAAGGATAAATGTGGAGGATGTCGTGGTGTGTAGGGAGGATCTGCGTGTGAAGATGTGGGGGCAGGGGAAGTGACGAATCTAAGGCCCGGTTTCCACCAAAGCAAAGAGGACAGGAGACGAGAGATTTGTTTGAATAAACCAATTTGATTTCGTTATTTCCACAACACATTTTTAGTACTCAAATTATACAACGAGAAATTATGAACAGATAGTTTTGTTTTGTAATAAATAGCGCTTGCTTGAAGAAATGGGGCCAGTTTAACAGATTCAACATCTTGTGTAAAGAGATGAAATTTTCCAGCTTCTAATTCTAAACTTCATCACTGATATTTCCTGTTTTATGACCTACACAAATGTTGCACTGGTCTTTTTTATGACGGAAAAGACAGAGATTGAGCTTTAAAAATGTGTCATGAAATAGTTTCGTCAAACGGGTACGTAGGAATTTAATTCGCACGATTCCTTATATTTTTTATAAAGATCAGACATATTTTCAAACACCGGTTCTAAATAAGCCTTATAAACCATTCTTTGACTCCTAGTGTTCCAAGCAAGAAACATATTTCTGCAGACTTGTTGTTTATTGTCTATAGTTAAAAAATATTCACCGCTTTCAGTTCATTTCTACCGACTTCAAAAAGGAGGAGGTACTCAATTCGACTGTATGTTTTTTATGTGTTTTCCTTACCTTCCGATCCTTTTTTCATTTGATAGCTGGTGCTTCTAATGTGGTCCCATATAAATTTGATCAAGGTCTGACCAATAGTTTTTGAGTTATCCTTAATAATATATATTGAAGTCGGTTGTACAACATTAATAATTTTAAATTATTGAGTCAACACTTAACTACTTTTTTCCCACTTTCATTACGTGAGAGCAAACAAATGCTCTGCGTTACTCCCAAGGCATTCGTTTCCAAAAAACATTAAATAAATGACTGCGTGTCTCCTGAATTATGGAATGACATGCTCTTAACTTAGGTTTTAAACAAAACGAAGAGTTGCATAAAGGATTCATGTGCCTAGCTGGCTTAAACACATCGTACATAGCCTTAAATTTTTTTCACTCACCTCAGCTTCGGCTTATTCGTTGCATTTGGCGACCAGCCTCAACCGCTACGGCTCTCACAGGTGCCTGCGAAATGCTGGGCGGGGGCTGCTCACCCTCCGCGCCTACAGCTTTACAAAAACACTCTAGGAGTAGGGCAGACAAGAATACATGGAGTCTGGGCGTGCTGATTCAATTTTAGTACAGATTCTATCAGATCAAATATCTATAAAGTCAGGTTGCCTTCGCTCCCGCTACCACCTTCTAACCTATTACAACTGAAAGTATTTCCGAGTGTTCAAGTATTTCTGGGCAGATTTAAATAATTCAGAAATAAAACAGTATATTATAATAGTAAGTAGTAGTAACTAACTTTGGGTCAATATTCCCTAAATCGGAGGTGTCCCTAGAACGGAACTCTAAGGGTAGGTAAGGGTTTTCACACAATATTATGCAATACAATAAGAAGATAAAAATAAGATAAGACTATGGCCATTTGTATTACTTAAGTACCAATTTTAGTCTTATCAGTCTTCTTTGCGCTTATTTTTGCTCGAATATTACATTTTATTTTCCACAGTCCAGGATGTATTTAAAATATTATAAAAAAACTTGCGTGTGTGTCGTAGAACACTCGGTTGGAACGAAGTACCATTCGTAGTATATTATTATATTATTGGTTAACCAATACAAATAAATGCGTCTATTAAAATGAAGCGTTATTTAAAATAATATTTCTTTCATGGCAAGATAAGAAAAAGTGCTAGGGAGATGGATATTATTCCACCCCGCTCGCACTATAGAAAGGGACCGTGACGAATAAATGTTACACTTTTTCTGGCCTAGCCCCCATCGGTTTCATTCGTACCGTGCGATAAGGAACTTCATTTCAATAATTAAATTAAGTTTAGACGGTATGTAATAATTGTTTAAGGAAATATAGTAGACAAGATTCTTATTTTGTATTATTAGTATTACCCAATTTGGTTTCCTTAAGAGTTTTCTTTGTCCAGCAATTACCCGTCTCACAATTTTTTGAATGTCGCGTTCTTATTGGTGGAAAAGTAAAGATTGCAATAGGTAGATCGAAGCACGCGAAAAAGCTTTATCCAATGAAATCAAAGTTATGGCAACTGCCGAAAATCGACTTACGTGGTGTTATTTAAACGCTAAGATGTTTTTAAAGTATAGATAAGATAAGTCATACTCGCTCTAAAATGGCAATACGAAAGTCAGGTAATTGCCCGACTCGCATTCAGTCGGGCACGTTCTCGTGTCGCGTCGCTATACTTTCACTACAGCGCGTAAATCTTCCAGTTATTCGTGGCAAAAATGCCTTCCTGTGATTCTAGGTGGTGCACAAATTACACGGTAACTGTTACAGACAAGAAAAACATCTCGTTAATATTTTAAATATAGATGTTTTGTTCATAATTGGTTTTATTATTTCAACAGTAACTGTTAGTGTAAACTTTGACGCTAGCTAGTGTGTTCATTTTCCGTATCGGTATGTCACGCACTCGCGACAATGAGCGCTCAGCAGCAATCAATACGCCACTAATGATGTATATTCATCCTTTTCTAACGATAGGTATATATATCATTTGTATCTTTTTGTTAGCGCAACGTGTCACAATAAATAACTGTACGTAGATATAGTACTACCTGCGTCACCAATAATGTTAGTGTGTAACCTGTTTATCTTTTTTAATGTCTTTGTACGTTATCCTAACTGACTCTTGAAATTGCCTTTCACCGCAAAACTCAAGGAACTTAATTAGTGTATATTTTAATTTTCTTTAAAATTTACCGACTGTATTGGTATTGCAGATATTTTTATGAGTGCATGTCGATGCATCACTGTTTATGAAGATATTGAAAATAAAACTTATTTTACACATTTCATCGTTTTATTACTTATTTTTATATTTCGAATCCCGATGTTTCGAGTGCTATACACAGTCATGGTCGCAGAGGGGACTGAGGTGTTTGACGTCCCATTGTTATAGTTATCCCGGGCTACCTTCAGCTTTGGAATATTAATATTTGGTCCAATCTACGCAGAATAAATGAGCTTAGGTATAGTGTCTTAAAGTCATGCAGTGCCTATCCACCAAGCAATCAGACTAGCCCCTAGACTTGTTTTTTTTTCTCTAGTAAATGTTAGAATTATAGCTTATCTTTTTACAGATTTATTACATGTATATATAATGCATTTATGGGCGATGTCAGCCTTATCTTAATAGACATCAAAATACATACAGCAAAGGAGTGGGATAATTTACCCGAATCTGTCTTTCCATGTGAAAACAATGTGGGTTATTTCAAGGCAAGAGAGAATAGGCGTTTGTTAAACTAATTTTGTGTGACTGTGAATCTTCTACTGAATACCACTTACCATCAAGTGGGGTAGTAGTCTGGCTGGCTTATAATAGTTTAAAAAAAAACAAATGTATAAAAGGAACACATAAAAAAATTAATTTAATTTTATATCTCTCTTCAGATTATAGGTAAGTTAATGTTGTGAAGTAATTTGCGGAAATTTTATAGACTTCAGATAGAAATTAAAAATGTTAAAAAATTTGTGGGCATTCCTAGAGATGCCGAATCAAAATCTGCCATGACATAAGCGAGCCTTCATCAATCATCAATGCAAAACGTTTACAATATTTTAATTAAGGCTAATAATTTCTGCTCACCAGATGTCGCTAGTTGATATTGAGGTAAAGTTTGTAGTTACACAATTTTTTTTCTATAGGATAAGGGTGACAAGCGAGCACACAGTCCACAGTGGTAAGTGGATGCTGTGGCCCATAGGCATCTACATCTATCCTCGATGACGAATTGCAATGCAGATGCAATGCCTCGTTTACAATAAAAAAGGGTCTTCGGTTACCTACACTCACCATACGAAACACAGCAGCGTTAAGCAGGCCTGGAATTACTAAGAGGATACTGCGATGAACAGTAAGCGCGGGTGCGCTAGCACTTCTTATTAGTGTGTGACCACGGATATGGACCGCACAGACTAATGTTATGATGCTTACGCATGCGCTAGCACTTCTTACTAGTTTGTGCTTACCATGGAGTATAAAGTAGAAGGAGGACCCTCTCTGTATATGAATAAGTGTCCGTAAAAGCGCGTCCAATAAGGGTGGCACTGCGGTAGCATAGATACATTTAAAAAAAAGCGCCAAAGTAATTAGAATAAGATAGAGAAATGAACAAGGACTGACTAATCCGCTTGGTTTTGTACTATGTAAAAGTTGAGGTTTTGTATACTGGCATTTTACTAACTACTCTAGTCATGAAAGTTTATAAATATTTGAATTCAGCTGACTTCATTCCGTCTACAACAGCTATATTCATATCTTAGTTTTTCAGACGCCAGCGCTATTGTGGTAGCTTTCGGAACCTCTATTTTCAGTATACAGTTGGACGCTTTTTCAACTTTCCCCCATATGAGATGGTACTCCTACTCTATATTCCACGGTTCTTACGCATATGGACCCAGTATATAAAAAGTACTCTCTGATATGGACTGATATGGACAGTCTCGAAAGGGCAAGGGTCATATTAGTCTGTGATTCTAAGTCTATGGCATTACCGGAACACAGACTTCATCGATGAAGGTCACAAACTAATAAGAAATACGGTAAGGTTATAAGCAAATAGTATATAATAACTACGTTTATTAATTAGTATTATCTAAGAAACAAACAGACCGAGTAACACTACAACTGCACCTTCAAGCCTACGCCTTTAAATATAAAGTATTATTTATCTATGTTTGATACACACAAGTATAGAGTGTAGAGTAGAAGGAGGACCATCTCTGTATATGAAAAGTGTCCCTAAAAACGTGTCCAATAAGGGTGGCGCTGCAGTAGCATAGGATAAATTAAAAAAGAAGCGCCAAAAGTATTTAGAGTAAGATGGAGAAATAAATAAGGACCGATCAATCCGCTTGGTTTTGTACTACGTAAATAGTTGAGATTTTGTATATTGGCGTTTTACTAACTACTCTAGCCTTGAAATATTTGAATTCAGCTGACTTCACTCCGTTCATAACAGCTATCTTCATATCGTAGTTTTTCAGACGCCAGCGCTATTGTGGTAGGTTTTGGAACCTCTATTTACAGTAAATAGTAGGACACTTTTTCAACCTTCGCTCCTTATAAGATGGTTCTCCTTCTACTCTACACTCCATACACACAAGATACACATCATAGATAAATAGATATGTAGCAAACTAATACACATGCTTGTCGGTGCAGCTTAAAAGGCCTTACACACCATTTTATAACTTCAAACAATTAATAATTTTTATTGATTGTTTGAAATTTACGTACCTACGTGAAGCCCACTCATTTGTTTTGCATCGTTCATTGTGGGACACACTGCAAGATGGACATTGTTGTGGACCTTTTAGACCGTAGACACAGAATCCAATACAAATGAAACAAGTAGGTAATATGAATAACAAATATTAAAACATATTTATTTGTTAAGAAAATCATAATAATTACTATATTAATTATTCATACTAAAACTAATTTAGTATGAATATTCCAAATTTTTTCAAGGGATTCGCTAATTTTTGTGGTTTCATGATGTATTCTTATTTCAAAATATTTTAAAGCGACAGCTTTAATGAGAAGCATTATGTGATTGTCAATGTAAGGAAATCTTTATTGATAGGATCAATATCGAGTTAAGTAGATTGGTATCCTTTTCGTTCACAAGAGCTTTGGCCTTAAATTCTTCAGTAATTTGTTCCAGATTTGCCACTTATTTTTAGACGCCTTGTTTTCTGACGAAGAGCGCGCACCATTCCCAACCTCTTCTCAGACAGATTTTGCTGCTTTTTCAATCTCTTGGTAAGATTTCTTAGGGTACCCAGTGGCTGAAACAGAAAATTAAAATGTTTTAATCCATTACACCTATAAGCGGCTGTTATTGATCGCAAACAAGAGATTTTCAATTGTGTTCATAATGTTATATGTCACCTATACCATATTCAGCAAAGTAAAATACAAAATGTGAACAAGGAAACCAATGGCTCTCGAAAACAACGACAAATAATGCTGTGCACAATGTCAGCTAATCCAATGCTATTTTGTATTACTTGCGTTACTAAAAAACGTTAAAAAAAACGCAGTGATTATATACTCTTTGATTACTTAGGTTACTTAGCAACCATCTTTGTCAAGTTTATTTAATGTTTTATATTATTTAAAAAGAATACAAAATACTACGTATTTACTTTTGCAACAAAATAATATGAACTAAAAATGTCCGCCATTAAAAAACTTTTTAACCAAAATTGTATTGTACCTGATATAATAAATATTGCGCCATCTGAGACTTTAGATGTTCAGTATCCTAGTGGTGTGAAAGTTGAGATAGGAAAGGAATTAACACCTTTACAAGTTAAAGATCAACCTATAGTCAATTGGGCTGCTAAAGAAGGTGAATATTACACATTAGCGATGGTAGATCCAGATGCCCCGAGTCGTGAAAATCCAAAATTCCGTGAGTGGCACCACTGGTTAATTGGAAACATTTATGGAGGAGATCTTTACAAAGGTGAGGTCCTTTCCGATTACATTGGATCGGGGCCCCCAAAAGGAACAGGATTACATCGCTACGTTTTCTTAGTATACAAGCAACCCGAAAAATGTGATTTTTCTAAAGTACCAAAACTTCCCAACAATTCAGGTGAAAAGAGGGGAAAATTTTCAATTGCTAAATTCGCTCAACATTATAAATTTGGTTCGCCAGTTGCTGGAAATTTTTATTTTGCTAAGTATGATGATTATGTTCCAAAACTGTATCAACAATTAAAGGGGTAATTTTTTTAATATATTTGAAAACCGGTAAATCATTCCGGTTTATGTATCTATATACGCTCACATGTATACGAAACTTATTTTGTCTATGGTTTCGATCGATAATTATTTCCGCCTCCGCGTGACATTCTCATTTTTTTGGTCAAGTCGCTATACTTATTCCGCCATTACATTTTGGAGTTTGCGTAAATTGGTCGTTTCACTGTCTGCAGGCAAACACACCTAGCGGTTATCAGTGACAGTTACTTAGTGTTCGTGCGTTGTATCGCAGCGTTTTGTTTAAACAAAGAGAGCTATACTTAATCGTATGTCCATCCAGAATCTCAACACATTCGACCCATTCGCCGATGCTATCAAAAGCTCGGAAGACGACGTTCAAGATGGACTAGTCCACGTCCGGATCCAGCAGCGGAACGGGCGAAAGACTCTGACCACGGTGCAAGGCCTGTCATCAGAATATGACCTGAAGAAGATCGTGCGGGCATGCAAGAAGGAGTTCGCGTGCAACGGAACCGTCGTGGAGCACCCGGAGTACGGCGAAGTACTGCAGCTGCAGGGCGATCAACGAGAAAATATTTGCCAGTGGCTTACTAAATCAGGGCTTGTTAAGCCTGAACAACTAAAAGTGCACGGCTTTTAAGTTCTCGCGTCATCAACATAACATGTTCTTTTCGTGACATCATCATAGTTCTATAATATAATGAGATTGTGCGCATTATAACCCTAAACGAATATGTATTTAGAAAGCATCGATATTTACAGAGATTATTGGACATGGCCTCATTGGCCCGCGCCCTGTGCCTTGCTGTCTCCCTATTATTGTAATATATAAAGTGAATATTTTTAAATACGACGCCGTCTCATCGTGTAAGACAGCTTTAGTTGCAAATTAACGCCGAACGAAATAGTAATAATCAATTTTTGTTTTTTTTTTATTACGACAATTATAAATTGCTGTATTAAAATATATGATGTCTCAATTAATAATAAACATGTTTTTGTAAAAAAATGTCTTTATTCATTTCCAAATCTATCTATCCACGTAACATGTAAGTGTAAATTGCCGATTCCTATAATTCTCAAACAAATAAACCTAATTCGTACTATCTTTTTGTAGTAAAAACCATGCTTGACTAATAAAATATAAGTTGTCCGTAGGTCTACTGGCAAAAAAGTATTGTGCTTTTGTCTTGTGGGTTTATCGCTCCGTTGGCAGTTAACGGTAAACCATAAGGGGTAGGGTAACAGACAATAGTGAAAGTGGAACTTTTATAATACGAATTCTTTCTATCAAATTTATCACACGACAGTTTAAGAATCGGCACATGAAGTGCAAAAAACATCACATATCCTATTCACATAAAACAGACTAATAAAAGGAAAAGAAAATAATTTCCACATCATCATATAGGTACATAAAATACTATACACAGATATTAATTTTTTTAAAGTTTCATTTATTGACCCTTTGAGTGGACTAAGAATCTAAGAAATCACACGTTGATGGCACAACCACCTCTATTATTTTAATGGTTACATTAGTACAAATAATTTCGTAATTTTGTCCCTTTTTTCATTCTTAGATACGGTAATTTTCCAGATTTTAAGTAGGACCACCCTTGAAAAAAATAATATTGAATAAAAAAAAAACGAATAAAATTGACGAAGAAGTCGCGTACATAAAAAAAGGGACTATAACCTATTTATTAAAAACTTATCGTAGTGTACCTGAAGTATAACCTATTTATTAAAATTATCGGTTTACAATAATTGAAAGAGATATCGCGGTGATATAATTAAAAAAAAACATTTAAATTAAGAATCTCCTTTATTTAAAGTCGGCTAAAGGCGGCTACTGACCTACCTGCCACAGGGGCAATCTAGGGAGCACAGCGATTGGAGCAATATCGGAGGCCGCAGGGCAGACTTGAAAAATTGCCCCTGCTTACCTAGACACATCACAATTAAGGAGGCAATTAAGGGTCATCCCCACTCCTACACCCTAGATTGCCCCTGCGGCAGGCAGGTCAGTAGCCACCTTAATAACGAGCTGCTATTGATAGTTGATACATTCCACAAAAATAATAGGCATATTAATGCATTTGTAATTCTAAATGACCATTATCTATACCGTATATATAGAGGTACTATAATAGTACCTATATACAACAAATACAACTGAGTTCTTATCCTTCTTAATTTTAACCAGTTTTCAAAAGGACACATTTGTTATTGCTAAAACAGTTTTCTCAGATACAAGTTTTTTATTCATCGTACGTTAGCAAAATGTTTTAATTGTAGGATTGTAGGCTTATTATTGGTTAAACTCCTGTTAGTGAGTAGGAAGTATATTCCTTGATTAAAAGGCAATGTCACGTTATGATAATATGCTCTTGCCTTAGCGCGGACTTTGACAAGGAAGCGACGGTAGTAATATGGAGCTATGAGTCATGGCCTCGATTTAACTCGGACTACGTGTACGAGTGAAGTCAGCTACTTTAATAAAATTTTCGACATAATTATATAGAGTGAATATTATATTATGCTAAATAATTGCACCACGCATACAATGTACTAATTAAAATAAAGATAAGTATTTATTTTCCTCTCTGCTGCCTTAAATAGAAAGCGCGTATTTTTCTGTATATTTAAAATAATTGCAGATACAAAACTCATCTAATCAATCTTGATGGGAATTTGCGATCGTTATGCGCTGGATCACAGATTACTCTACTATAACGCAAAGAATCACTCTTCTTTGCGTTGTAGTAGTTATAGTATTCCGTCGAAATTTGTGCGGTGCCGCAGTCCCTTCAGCGGTGCCAAGTTGACTGTCGGTATATTGAAGTGCTGAAGTGCTTGTACAGTAGGGCTACGATGGCTATCCGAGTATAGAACCAGAGTACGAAACCTATCCAATTGCAGAGATGTAAGACTAGGTAACATTATATCCCCGAAACTTCACCGCTGTATTGGAAGAAGTTTTCAAGCTTCTGGACTGGAAAGGATACGATATTAACATCAACGGCGAGTACATCACTCACCTTCAAGTTGCCGACGATATAGTCCTTATGGTAGAATCACTGGAGGAACTAAGCACCATGCTCAATGACCTCAATAGTGTATCCCAACGGATAGGTCTTAAGATGAACATGGACAAAACAAAGATCATGTTTAATGTCAATGTCACACCTATGCCGGTAGTTGTTGGGAGCACTAAGCTCGAAGTTGTTGACGAGTATGTTTACTTGGGACAAATAGTCCGACTAGGTAAGTCCAACAGTCCAACTTCGACCGAGAGGTCAATCGACGGATTCAACTCGGCTAGGCAGGGTTCGGGAAACTACGACACATCTTCTCGTCAGACATACCTCAAAACTTTAAAACGAAATTGTACAACCAGTGCGTGTTGCCAGTGATGACTTACAGATCTGAGACGTGGTCCTTCATTGCTGGCCGTATGAGGAAGCTCAAGGTCGCTCAGCGAGCTATGGAAAGGGCTATGCTCGGGGTTTACAACCGATGGGGAAGAAAGGTTCTCGAGTGGCAGCCTCGTACCGATAGGCGAAGTGTAGGGCGACCCCCCACGAGATGGAGTGACGACTTGGTAAGACATGCAGTAAGTCGATGGATGCAGGTGGCTCAGGACCGTGCTTTGTGGCATTCCTTGGGGGAGGCCTATGTTCAGCAGTGGACTTATGAAAGGCTGTAATGATGATGATGATTATTATTATTATTTCTATATCTTTATTTTTTCAAGCCTTGCGGCCGTTATTAATGTTAATTACGGGTGTTCACCAAGTAAAAAGCATAAATGGGCATTTTATTAAGTAGTGTGTTCTGGGATATTGGGCGTAACTTCGTTTTCATCTATTTGTAAAAAATTTCTCACGATACGGCACGTATTTAATATGGCGTCTTTATTTATTTATTATTATTATTAATCTTTATACTTATACTAGCTGACCCGGCAAACGTTGTTTTGCCATATACATTATTTTTAGGAAATATTTTTTAGTTTTAAAAATTGCGATTAAAAAACAGGTGTTGATCGCGGAAGGGTGAAAATTTGATGTTTTATGTATTTTTCAATGCTAAATTATAATAAAATAAAAATATTTTTTTCAAAAAATAAAAAAAAATATTTAGGCGTGGGTCACCCTTATCATTTAGGGGTTTGAAAAATAGATTTTGGCCGATTCTCAGACCTACCCGATATGCACACAAAATTTCATACAAATCGGTTCAGCAGTTCAGTTTGGTAACAAACACCGCGACACAAGAATTTTATATATTAATTAAGATAAAAATTACGTGTCACATTGTTTGTCAGCGATGAAGTCGTGTATTGCTTGCTCAAACTTTAGAGATAGGGTAGTTTTTATGTCCATACTTGACCATCAATATTTTTTTAAAGTTAATAAAGTTTTAAAGTTATAGCCTATATACGTCCCACTGCTGGACACAGGCCTCCTCTCATTTCTGAGAGGGTTTTAGGGCAAGAAGTGTCCGCCGCGTTGCTCTAATGCGTGTTGGCGAACTCTTCGAAATTATTTTTTTTCTTTTTCTCAGACATGCAGGTTTCCTCACGATGTTTTCCTTCACTGCCGAGCACGTAGTAAATCAACACTTAAAATTGCAATTAACAATTTCATTGATGCCGGCGGGGATCGAACCCGGGTTGGTCGCGTATTGTGTTTACAGCTAGCACTAACCATCTGAGCTACTACGGCATAGTATTTTTTTATTGTGAATTAATTTAAATTTAATAAAATTTTAAAGATAAAGGGTCGTCGAAAAGGGCAGAACAAAGTGTACCTGGCCAGCTCTCTAGCTATAAATATAAAGATTTAAAGTATGATTCTACAAAATCACACAAGGCCACAAAGTAGGTACCATCAAGGACGTTCTTTGTTTGGAGTCTCGCAACACGGAACTTAATTTTCTCTTTGTCTAATGTTTTCTTCCGCATTGTCTTAGTCCGCAGCCATAATATATAATTT